TCCGTCTAGGATTTGACAAGTTTGCTCCATATTCAAAACGTTAAAAACGTACTCTTTTGAGCAGCTTGTACAGAACACGCAATGCCCAGGGATTATCAACAGGGCAGCTAAGATATCGGCCACTCCGAGGCTCACCAGAAAGATGTTCATATAGTAGTTGCGAAACTGAGAGGTGTTCAAAAAGACAGCACAACAGAATGTGTTTCCAATGAACATGGCGAAGCCAAGAACGACGTACACCACTAAAAATGCTTCATCCAGAATTTTACTGCATAGATACTCAGTAGGGGTGTCCTCGTGTTGAGAAGACGAGTTTCCTTTCTCAAAACTCATGATTTGCAATAAGTAGCACTGACTAAAACGTTGTACCAAATATGACTAACCTAACTTTTTCTCTCTTTTTCTCTCTTAACCCAAGCCTTGTTAAGTTGAGTCTTAGAGTGATGGGGAAAACTCGGGAGCAGGTGACATCGACGCACAATGTTATATTTGTTTCTAAAAGAATACTAACTGATAATAAATAGATAGTCATTAATACATTAACACAACAATTCATATAACAACCAATGACTTGAGGCAAAGTCAAAATTTGCATTCGGCTCAGTATCGTATTGTTTGACTCAAACATGTGATTTAATAACAAAGTTAGCTGAGTTTAAAGATAAGGATTCGTGTAAATGAAGATCAGGTTTCACCTACAGCAGCCATTAACAATTTACGCTTATCTATTACAAAAACTAAAACTCATAATCTTCTTTTGAGTATATTCTGTGTACGACTGTTAACTAAAGGCATATATTGCCGTGAGCCATGCAAAAAAAAGAATATTGCGTAAAAAAAAAACATCCAAACTGAACCCTCTTGTTAATGTCGATTAATGGAGTGGAATTTAATGATCTGGTAAATCAAAAAGTCCTTTACTTTGGTTAGAGACGAATTTTTATACCCCTTATGGTAATGTATTTCTTGATGCGTAACAATAATATAAAACAACTAAAGAGGGAGTCGAAATAACCTTTTACAGTTTTTACTGCTACGGCCAAAAATATACAAGAAATATATACAGCATAAAATACAACGAGTCTGTAATATTGTACCGGTTTCATTTTTGTTGAACGTGGTCTGAAAAGGATGCATTTCCGAGGTTAACTTCAGTCCTATTTTCATACTTTATCAGATACTGTTACTCGTCGTGCTAGACATGTTATCTCGAGATGAACATTATAAGGAACTTACGTTCTATTTAGAGTGAATTTTAGTACCAAAAGATAATATTAAGAGAAAAAAAAGGCGGAAACAAAATGAAGTCGAACTCTTTGCTTATTATCAACTTTCAGGCAAAATATCTGAAAAAAAAAACGTGACTTACAATCTGACTGACACTCATTAAACAAACCGCATTTGACGTAGTACTTAATAAGCACGTGCAATAATTCTCACGACATTTGATTTCGACTTCAATCACAGTTATTTATTTCTACGGTTTTTCGCTTAACCTCAGAATTTGATTAACGCTTTTTCATTGGACAATTAATTTTCATTGAAAGCTATATAGTGTCCTCATCCAGGGATCCGTGATCTACTTGTGTCTGCCTGTTGCATAAAGGTATTCTTAAACTGAAATAAATCACAGTCTAATGACAGCCGTGCTATACATTCCCTGCACTTCCCTGAAACTATTAATGTCGTCCTTGGCAACGAAAGACTGGAATGGAAAAGGGCTCGACCTGAATTAGAAAACATCAGCGGAATTTACAACTTCTTCTACTGTGTCTTTAGAAAACCTGACAATAAAAATGGCTGTGGTTTGTTTCCCCTGAGAGTTAAATTTTACCATGCCATGCTTTTAAGTTTAAACCTAATACTGGACGCGATTAAGCTGATTGTTATACATTCAACTCACAATCTTTCTTCTCATTGGCTAAGAGCCTACAATGAAATTTGGAAATCAGTGTAACCTAAAGATTACAGTTATCATTCAGCAGATAACTTGACTATCTGAAGGTTTCGTGCGCAAAGTACGAATGCACGATTTGTTTTTCCAAGGGCAATGTCAAACTGTGTTCAATGCGACGGTGCATTTATCGTTATTTTTGTAAAAAAAATATATAATAAAACAATTATAAGATTAGGATTTTTGTGTTATCCTGGATAATCAAAGGTCTCGGTAAGTGTTATCAGCCTCTACTTTCGGCTGATAACGCTTACCTCGACTTTGACTGTTCCGAATTTCACAAAAAACCGAATCTAATAATCGTTTATTATTAAGACGCTAAGGAGATCGAGAATTATGACTTGAATATCTTTCTTCGTGTTCATACACGTGCAATAAAATAGCAGTAGTATCACGAAGTTCAAAAGAATAGGCAATTTCACAATTATGATTTAGCTTGTTCCAAGATCCGAGTGAGATAGTCGGGTCCGCGAAATTGAGAAAGTGCGACCACGAAAAAAAAGGAGGAAACTGGGGAGAGGAAGGGCGGGCTCCCTTCCTTTTACCCGCCACCGCCCCTTAAACCGCCCCCCTTTTCCCGGATCACGCGCTCATATTTTCGAGTGCCCGTTACACTGACGCGTCATTCTTACTATCTGAGAGCCTGGAACAGGCTATTTTGTATTGGGTATCCTCACTTTGAGTGGTAGTGATGACCTTATTTTGACAGAAACCTTACTGCTTTTCAAATGCAAAATCTCGTTTCCACTCAGAGGCTAGGTTACTTGGCATACAAATGTAAACTGGAATATTTCTTTTAAGTAGCTCTCAGTATTTTGAATTCTAAGATCGAATTCACGAGGAAACTGAATTTAATACCGATTACTACTACGGCTGATTCATAGGCAATTATTTATGGTTCGGACATAACATTTTGGACCAGTCTGGGGAACTACCTACTCATGTTGATTTAGGGGAAGAATAGGAGGGGAGTTTTTCTCAATTTTATACAAATCAGGCATATCAAAGTTAGGTAGTAGATAGTGTATTTTCACATCACGTCACGTCCGCCATATTGGAGTTCCAAAACAATGAACGGCAGCCATTTAGGAATTCCAAACCAATCTTGTGGGAGTTAAGTTGAACTCTTTTCTTATGCAAACGCTTTCTGTTGTTCCAATAAATTTGCATAGATGCTATCCATGTGAGTGAAAACGCTCTATATAAACTTCATAGCATGCATGCGCACGGGGATCCCCACGTTATCGGTGACAAATACTTGCACTAAGCTAACTCTAACTATATTTTCTACATATGGTTGACGTAACGAGCTTGCAATTCATAGAAGTGGCCTTGCTATTTAAATTAACATTAAGACCATATTCCAAACACATTTAAAATCAGAATTTATACAAATCGCAAGTTTTGTGGTTAGTTATTACTTCCGCGCAAAATTTTGTTAGGAGCTGTGCGCGCGCGTTTGACCGTTGCGGAGTTGCGGTATAAATACAAACAGAAACCATAGCAACAACGCTCAAACCAAAAACTAAAAACTATGGCGGAGAAGGAAATTTGTAAAACCATACTTAAACACAGCACTTTTGCTTAGATTACACTAACATTAGACTAAAGCGAATGTCGATTGTTAGTTTATGTAGACATGTTTCAGCAAATCGATGTTTATAAAGAAATAGATGGAAAAATAAAGGATTTTCCTCGCGCGCTCAGTTATGGTTGCTGCATGCCTACATCGTGCAGGAAAAAAGAGCAGAGAAACATTCTTATAAAATAAATACCTTACCTCAATTGAAAGTGACTGTTGAAAGGGGCGTGGTTCTTGGCACCGTTAGAAGACCTCATTAAACAGGTTTGCGTATTTTCTAAACGAATCTTTTTCCTTTCTAACCCGACGCGACTGCGCTTGTCGCAACGTAGAAGGAAGTAAAACATTTGACGTCACAAAGGAACATTAGAGCGATGGCTGAATGCGCGCTCATGATTTGAGGCCGGTAGAAGTTTAATTTTGCTGGTCAAATTATAAAAGATGCTGTATAGGCACGCTTGTAAAAGATTAACGGACGGAAAAATAATTAATCTTTCTTCATAACTGGCAATCAATTTGACCAAATGTTTGTGAGTATACCGTGAAATTATGGATCAATTCAATCAGATAAAAAAAGTAGGCTCTTTTTTGGGGGGGATGGGGGGGCGGTTGGGGTGTGGGGGAGTGGCGCTGAGAGTATTCGTAGGTATAGTATTCGTGGCTCTCCGTTGCTGAACAGATAAACTTCAAAATTCTTAACATTCTAAAGTCATATTGATATATATTTTTTAACATTGCTATCAAAAACTAGCTTTTGTGATCTTAATTTTTCAATTTTTATTTTTTGTAATTGTGTGAATATCGTGTAAAGCACATAGAGCTGATGTATATTTGCTACACAAATGTCTTATATTATCATCATCATTATTATTATTATTATTATTATTATTATTACCAGTATTGTTATTTTTAAATTATTATGCACTTATCAGTGGCTATTTTGGAGGGTTGAACCTTGGGACATCCCAGGCATTGGCACAAGAATGTACACAAATCCCCCCACCCAAGAAGTTACCATCACCCCTCCCCATGGGGCATGAATCAAAGCCTCAAATCACAAAGTGCAATATTTCAAGGGACTTCCAAATTACAAGAAAATGCTCTTTTTGTTGTTTCGTTTACAAAAAACTCTCTTTTACAGAATTGTAATTTAAAAAGGGTTGATTAATAGAGTGCACCTGTATACTGCACATGATAAAGTTCAGGTTATTTTGCTTGTCATGGAATTGAAATGGACAACATTTTTGTACGATTCATAGTACATTTTCCCTTCTCTGCTAGGTGAATTCCAATTCTGCCATTGTGTTTTTCCTGGGGATCCTACTACAAAGGTGTAAAGGCAATCCAATTCCCTGCCCCGGACTTCAGACTTCCCGGATGTCAACAAATCCTGTGCATGCCAGTGTCCCTGGGGTCGACCCTGCGGGATGGTCGCTGATAACTGCATTACTCTAAGGAATATCACTACAAGTCTGACACCTTAAACTGTACCTCTTGTAAGATGCTTGTTCTCTTTATGAAGACAGGAGCCTGATCGGTTTTGTCAATGTGGGCTCCATAAGCACAGCAGACTTGCCAATTGCTAAAAGGCAAAAAATGTGAGAATATGAACCTAGAGCCTGGAAAAGTGGTGAGAAGTGGGTCAAAAGTCATGAGATGTCTCAAATATCCTAGTGGAAGGACTTATACTGGGGATTATGGGTATTGGAAGTCCCATATCACTTTAAAGCTGCAGCAGTAAACATCAAGATCAATTTTACGATTTGGGTTTTGTAATTTCTGTTTGTTGACGGCTGTCTTGAAACAAGAGAAACAGTAAGTCTGCACATTTAGTGGCAGCGGCAAGCCGCGGTGGGCTAAAAGAATGTAATCATACAAGACATGCTAAGCATTTTCTTGGGATTGAGCTGGCTATGTATTGCCATCTAACTTGGAAATGAACCTGACAACTCCAAATGTTTTTGGAGTTTTACCTTTTGAGAAAGCATGAGAAATCAGTCGTTAACTCGTGAGAGCGTGAGATAGGTCATAAAATCGTGAGACTTCTTGGCACGTCTGGCACAGTATTAGCCATGCAATACTGACTGCTAATATTAGGGTCAAATAAAGAGATTTAAGAAAGGCAGGGACCAAGTCTAGGCATCCGTTTTAATGAGATGTCTGTTAAGAGAGGGAGAGTCAACTGTAATCTCATTTAAACTAGGTCGCAATTTAGTCTCAACATTTCTTTTTTTCTCAAAATGTTGAAGACATTTGACCTACTCTCTTAACCCGGCCAATGTATCTACACATTCTTTTGTGACTACACAAACATTTTATTCATGTTTGCTAAGGGATGCTCAAATTTGCTGGACACAGCAGGAACAAACACAAAAGTGTATTTAAAACAAATTAGTAACCTGTCTAAAATTATCATAATAAGTTCCTCCAACAGGAATCACTTATGCGTGATGCTAGATAGTGGAAATGACTTCTAGAATAGAACTAGCAAGAAATAATGGGATTCTCTTGAATAGGTATAATTACATTGCACAGCAGAGACCTGTAAATTACAAATTTAGAAAGAAAATGATAATTTCCTCTTCTTTTCGAAGAAGAAATTGTTAACACATCTCGATTTCGAGATGCTATAAAATACCGTACAGTAAAACTTCCATAATTACCTTTTGAGCTATATGAACTGTGCATGTTTTAATTTCCAGACGCTCGGCAAACGTCGCAGATCTTCGCAATGATTTAGATTTCCATGCTGGGTTTAAAGGCACATTCGCTGGCTGTTCATTTAAAGAATTCATCTAGGCGAAATACAGAACAGTAAATGTTACAGATAAACTTGTCAAAAATCAAATAAGCTCGTTAATCTTGTTTACCTCAATCATTTAAACTTTCCGCCATTTTTCAGGGCCATCTTCTTTCTCTCTTAGTCCCCAGTCTCCCCCAGCTCAAGCAGTTCAATGGCGGCTGGCGGCTACTTTGTTTTCTTGCTTCTGATTGGCTGAGAGCGATGATTTTTCAGGACTTAGTTTTTTTTATCGATTCTATTAATGATTCTATTAATGAATTGATTATTTGAAAAATGAATCCTTTAGTCCTTCCGGTAACTAGTGTTAAATTCAAATCGGCATTCCAGCATGCTTAATGAGCAGTGAGAATTTTACGAGAACCTCCCTGTATTTGGTCAGATTGAAAATCTTTGAATGGGTTAAACTTCATAGACGACATTTACATCAAATTCAGGGAAACCTAGCTGGTAGAAATTTTGTAACTGCCTTGAGTGTGAATTCACGGCTCATTACGCATGGAAAATGCAGAGATTAATCTGAAATCTACAACTACCTACGGATTCAACTTTCGAATAATAAATTCAGTAATGCAACCTTGGGGGGTACGCTTGACTTGGCTTGACTGTAATGGTTAATGAGTGTTTCACTTCCTGCTGCTTGTTTTCACATGGTTTTCCGTCTTTTTGTGATGGCCAAGTCGTTCGATCTTCTTCTTCCGGCATTTTCCCGAGTTTCTCTTCAGTGCCATTGCATTTTACTATCTCCCTCACCCTCGACAAAAACGCCTTAAAAAGTTGCCTCGGCACTATGAGATGTAGTCTCCTTCGCAGCCGTTATTAGGGTCGTCACTCGTCACGCAACGCTCCTCCCCACTAACGGCCGTTAGTGGGGAGGAGCGTTGCGTGACGAGTGACGACCCTAATAACGGCTGCGAAGGAGACTATATGAGATGGCAACATGCCGCCGTATTAACTTTGAAGCATGAGCCGTGTTGGATCGCCGTTGTTACTGTCGACATTCACACGAAAAGGAGAACGAGTCGGATATTTTAAAGAAACCGCGTAACATATAGGAGCTTATACGACACTTTCGCTTCTTATGTAAGACAGACTCGTCTTATGTAATAAGGCGCCTTATCATGGTGTTATGGTTCATGTTTCCAGATCCGGCAATACGTTTTGACCTATGAAAAGTTTTTATTACCTATTACTTAATATATTTTTTTCCCGCACGTGCTTTTATCCCGAAAAAAAGCATTGCCTTGGTGATATGACAGTCAAACCCCGTTAACGCGGACATTAAGAGGGCCATATAACGGGATGCCTCTCAGCCGCTGTTCGGGAAATGGGCCCAGGCTCCTCCCCGGTTAGACTCTACTTACTAAAGTTCTCGTGTTTTACCGGAAATCAGTTTCATTTACCGAGAACTGGGCCCGAGGACGTGCCTTACTATTTCTCACATGGATACTCCCAAAATCCCAATGCCAGGGGCTGATCCTGCAAATGTCCGACAAAATTATTATAATATTCCTTTTAATGTTTTTGCTTTTTTTCGGCTCAGTCTTGACGCCACGATGCACGTGCCGCAACACCAGCCAGCCTTCCTGAGTTATATAACACTGGTATTTTTGCGGCAAACATACGGAAACCCACAGTTTAGCAGCTGTGTATTTTTTGAAAAATACTGCCAAGAAAATAACAGCCTGATCAAGAAAAATATAGTTATTTCGAGCTTCGGAAGAGAGGGGCACTAGCTCCCTTGTTTGGCCTAAGCGGATATGTGCTGCTAGGGCTGCTTAGACTGCAAAACAGTCGGTTTTTTTATTCAAAATCAGTTTAGAGTAGAGTAAGAACAGCGTGAGAGCCTCACGCGCGCGAGCCTCACACGGCCGTAGGACGAGTGAGGCGAGAGAAATAAAAACCTCTCCTCAGTCTTGCTCTCCGTTTTCAGCTTTTGATTGACTGTTCGTGCGTACTTGAATACGCAAAAATACGGACATGTTTTGCAGTCTAGGGCTGCTGGATATTAACAGGGTTTGATTGGTCTTGAAGCCTTCACGAGGTATACTCCCATAGATTTTAATAGCTGTATGCCGCCCTGGGTCTTAAACCCTATTTGGGGGCTGAGAATAATGAAAACTGACTGACACCCTATTTAAGGCCCAAACCTGAAAAATGAGAAGACCCTTCAATTCAAGGGAAACACAGAAACTAGGAATTCAATGGAAAGACACAAATGTTAAAATCGTTTTCCTAATACTTTAAGGTGAAGTCCAGTCAGAGGTTAGCAACTGAGTTGTTTCTCGTGTAGCTGGGCATTTTCGCACTTGAATTTTAGCTCATATAATAACGGTACGCTATCTAAAGATCACACTGGGAACACAAACGGATATTTTAACCTACAACGTGATACCCTATTTATACCCTGCGAGCAGGTTTTTCTCTATTTTTCTCGCAAACCACCCCCCCACTCGCGAGCTATAATCCCCGACGACCGTCCCCTCGGTACATTTGAAAATCAAGATAGCCGTGACGGTAAGACGCAGTATATCTAAACGATCTCACGAAAAAATAGGGGACTGCCACAGTCTAGGCTTTTAGCGTTAACGAAGACGTTCGCGTGGTTTGTCAGTCGTAGCCTGCATTGCAGCCAGCCCACGCATCGTCTAAACCATTTGTATAGCTCTATACACTGTTTTTATTATATAAGAATGTTGTTTTTTCGGGCCAGGCTGAATATTCTTATTTTTCTGCCAATTTTAGCCTGAAAATATTCTTGTTTTATTCTTGAATTATAACTGAAAAAGAGAGAATTTATCATATCCTTTTTGCGGTTTGTTCATTTATTATTAATTTATTTTTTTGCTGCATACTATAGACCTGTATTTCATGTACCGTTCATCGAACTGCCATTAGCACTGAGCATTTGGTTATAACCACGCGCAGGTTGTTTCGTTTTGTTGGGTGGTTTTGCCGTGGAAGGAAGCAATAAATACGGTTAAGTTAAAAACATATTTTTTAGATTTTCATCACTCAAACATCCTTTTCGAAATCTCAGCCTCGGGTTTATTCTTAAAATATTTTTAAAATTTAGCAAATTTCAGTCTCGATATTCTAATAAAATATATTCTTATAGAAGAAAAAGAGTGTACAGAAGGTTTAGAGTGTCTGCGATGCAGGCTAATCAGTCGCGTAGTTGGTTTGTTTTATAGGCCCCAGGAGACGTACGTACGCGGGGTAAAGAAACCCTGGCTAAGCGACAGACAAGTCACACGAACGACTTTTTTAACGCTAAAAGCCATGCAAAAGAGAAACCTCTGCTCGCAAGGTATCCTATTTAAGGATAGAGACCCTTACATTCATACCCCATGTGGCGGCATATACCAATCTAGCCCATATTTATATGTGAGTAACCTCGCCCGGGGAAAGCCTTTAGTGATGACTACATTTTGCATTACTAACATTTTTTGTCCACCAGGAGCCCACGGGCTCCTGGGACGTCCAAAATTTTTTATTTTCATGATGCTATAGTTCCAAATTTGCTTAATTCTGAATGCCAAACAGAAATGAATCAGGGTCATGATATAAGGTCTCTGGTCTTAGACGTCCTAAACGACTTAAACAGGGTCCGGGTTTGAAGGTCGTGGGGGCGCGCTCTGACCTCTACGCAAACTTCCCTTAAATCCCAATGGCAGTATGCGCATCCACAGTACAATAATGACTCGGGTCATTATTAGGAATGAGTGGTCTCCATGAACCGCTTATTCTCTCCATTTTTTGCTGACTGAATTGTAAGACTTAATGTTCAGTCAAAATTCGCGGGAAAAATGACCTAAAGATAAATTGGTCTGTGAAAAATATCTTGCTGGCATGCTACAAACGGATACGCAACGTCAGTCCGCTTTCACCCGGGACCAAGAATTCATAAATCATTCATTTATTAAAGCTGATGAAAATAGATAAAATCGATAAAAATCGATACAATTAAGAGGACTTGCGCAATTGCATTGTGAGTATCGATTTTCATTGATTAGTGAAAGCAATCGATATTAATTGATCAATTTTAATTTAATTTAACGTAATTCAAAGAATTTTTATAGCGCTAGAACGATAAAATATTCAAAAGCGTTTTACATTAGTTACAATTAAAAAAAGCCTAAAATGCTAGTAATAACATAGACTACGAGTAGTCCCCCATTTTTCCTCAGGGATAGTAGAGCGAACGAAACGTGAGCGCGCGTGAAAATCACACCAAGCGAGAAAAGGCGACACGCGGCGGGGAGAGAGCCTTTTCTCGCGTGGGGTGATTTTCACGCGCTCGCGTTTCGCACGCTTTACTATCCCTGAGGAAAAATGGGGGACTACTCGTAGTCTAGTAATAACAATCATAATAATAACAATAAATTTCCTGGCTAAGCTTTAGTCTAAAAAATGAAAGCCTAAATCTCAATACAAAATTAAAATTAAAATATTCAAATAAAAACAAAAGCACTAAACATTCAGAGCTATTCTAATAAATTATAAGCTTTCCTAAAAATAAATGTTTTAAGATGCCTTTCAGTTAAAAATGGCGAGGCTGCTACTTGTTCGTATAGTTAATGGCAGGAAGTTCCATAAAACAGGTGCAGCATGAGCAAAAGGACCGATCCTCAAGAGTAGAGCAGCTGACCTTAGAAACGAACAGGAGAGATTGTGCAGACGAGTGAAGAGCATAATTAGCAGCTGGTTCCAGGGACAAAAGATCTTTAATGTAGAGTGGACTTAGGCTGTGTAGCGACGGGAATCGGAGAACCTCGCGAAGGACTTCAGGGGAACGGCAAGAAGTAGAAAGGGAAATGAAAATACATAAATTAAAAAATAATAATCTATATAAAGAAACAAAACAAAACGGCAATAACTAAAACGAAAACTAAACGAAAAAAAAATAAACAAAAAGAAGAGAAGAGAAGAGAAATTGACCGTAATCGAACTCAGGACCTTCTACGCGCCGGGTCGTACGGCTATGCCTGATGTAAATATCTATCGCAGTTTATTACAGTGATACGAAAATTTTTAATATTCCTCAACATTTCGTTTAGCTACCTGCATGTAAGTCAGATTTGATTGTAAATAGTTTTTATATGTAATAAATAAATTTGAACTTGAACTTGAAAAAGATTCATTTCAAATATAAATTAAAAAACGGTGAGACCGTTTGTGAGGGCAGCACAGTCTTCCAATGTAGAACGTGGGATACCTGTGAATGCAGCAGTGTGCGTGACTACAAACTCACGTGTTCCATTTCATCTCAACTTTTCGCATGACTGCGTAAGAGGCTTACCTACGTGGCACGTGTTTGTTAATTTTACACGAACCGTTTGCACGTGGCACTCATGTACCCTGGCCAAAACGTAGTGGGTCTGATGGGCACATTCGACTGCCTGATCTTCATGCGTTTCCATAAAAATTAGATAAGAAATTTTGTTAAAAACTCCAAGCATTTTCCCTTAGATATTCATTTAATCAATTCTCCCCACCTTTTCTCTCCACCTTATATATATGTTGTTGAGAGAAAATTGATGTTGGTCACTCTTTGGACTTAAAACGGCTCAAGGAGACCCCCTCCCCTAGTCCTCATTTCGGCCGGGTCATATCCAGCACTTCACGTGAGCCGAACCTAATTGAATCCTGCTTACTGAAGTACGGTGTTTGATCGTACCTCAAATCCAATACCTTGTGGTAGTTTTTTTTCTTAAAGTTTCGTCAATTTTGTAAACACTGAGTTCCGTCAGAACATGTCACCATTAATTCTACGTTCTCCGAGCGTGTACATGAAACATGTCCTTAAACTATTTGACTTACACTTAAAACACGAAAAGAAAAAAAAAGACGGAACCGGTTCACTTGAAAGAACTCGCAAAATGTTTTTTTCTCTATTGTCGAGCTACTGTTGTTGCACACGATGAGTGTCGCGTGCCGTTCAGTTGTTATGTAACATAAAAAGATGGACAATTGCCGGCCGGCCGGCCGGTGAGTACATCCGAAACTTCATTGGAATTGTATGCACAAAATGGCGGAGGCCGCCGAACAGTCACTCGACGAAGAGACTAAAAAGGCGTGCTTGCTGAGAAACAAGAATGAAAAGAAAAGAAGGGATCGGTTTAATAACCTAGTGAGCGAGCTATCCGCCTTGCTGCCGTTGTCAAGGAAAAAATTAAGCAAAAATAACGTTTTGAAATTTGCGATAGACCACTTCCGACAGCATCAACTTGCAGCAGAAAACCTCCGTGCTAAGCGATTTCACGGAAAATGGCAGCCTGACTTCATAACAAACGAGGAGTTTCGCCAAACAGTGCTGGATGGATTAGACGGAGTTATACTGGCCTTGAATGAAGCCGGTATGCTCCTTTTCGTTTCGAGCAATATCTTTTCATGCCTTGGTCACAGCAAAGGGGATCTGTTGAATACAAGCATTTTTAATTTCGTGCATCCAGACGATCAAAGGACGATATATTCACTGCTTGGAGCTATCTATAACCCTGCTGCTCTAAATCTGCCAGATGTAAGTTGGTTTAATCTCCGCTTTCGTTGCGGTCCGGAGAATGAATTCAGAACACTTTGTTGCGTGAGCAAGATTTTCGGACACGAAAGGTCGGGAGGTGCCCAGCGGGCAAATTCTTGTGCCGTGTTGATTGCAAGGTCAGCATTTGCTCCAAAAATAAACCGGACTCTTCTAATCACTGACGCGACAAAGGGATTAAAGTTCACCACACGACTGGACAAAAACTGGAGATTTCAGTGTGTGGAGAGGGGTGCGACTTTAACTTTGGGGTATTACCCAATTGAAATGCTGGGGACATGCCTTTATGACTACTGCCATGCTGATGACTTGACAAACCTTGCTGAGTACCATAGCATGTTGCTATATTCCGGAGTGATAACAACCTGCTGTTACCGTCTACTCACCAAGGGACAGGAATGGATTTGGGTGCGAAGTCAATGTTTTGTGTCGTACAGTCAGTTGGACTCCAAACCTGAATCTGTGATCTGTATCACATGGCCCATTGAAAGTTCAGAGTTCAGTGCAAATCAGCCGGAGATGATAGAGCGGGATCGGCAACTGTTCTCTCAGATTCTGGAAAAAAATGGAGCAACACCTCAAGAATCGAGACAATCTTCAAGTTCTCGCAATAATTTTGAGCAAAGTGCTAATGTTCCTTTGTCATCGTCGTTAACCCTTAGCACACCACAACCTCAGGTTTCACCTAGTGTAGTTCCATCCACAATGACAATGGATTATTCCAGTGTATCATATGCAGAGACATACAACAATTCTACAATGCTGCCTATAAGTAACTCAGATGCCTCTATCACCGATTCCACTAGCTTGGGGGCCTGTGTAGACACCGCAGCACTTTTAACGCAAAGTAATGCTCATGGAAGCTCGTTGTCCAATGATTCACTGCTGAACTCCATTGAACATCTAGATGAGGATTCACTGTTGTTGGACGATCAGATTGAAATGCCTGAATCTCTTTCATTTTCTCAATGGGCGCTTCATTTGCATCTTAGAGAACAGTACAAAAGCCTCACGGAGTCCATCAGACAGCAATCAGAACAGGTTACACTCATTCAAAAGCAGCTTTCTATCCAGAAAGAACTATCTGTGCTCAGTGATGAACTGGAGAGACAACAACAGTTGAAAAATCAGAACTTGGGTAATAATTTTGAAAGTACCAAGGCAATTATTCAACAGAAGATGAAAGAGTTGCAACAGACCGTGCAATGTATCAATGCTTTAACTTGATTTTTGTTAGAGACACAAGCCAGGTGAACTTGTTATGTCATGGACATGTTTCCAGGCACATATATTTTAATAAGCTGCTCTCTCCCCTAGAGATCCTACTTGTAGTATTAGTGCGAAACAGCATAACATGAAAACGACTCCAGCAGGAGGGGACAAGAGGGAGCCTCGCTACTTTTACTTCTGCGTACACCAAGTCTCTGAATGGCCAAAGAGGCCTCCATGGAGGACAGTGATATCAAACTGAACTTCATTTTATAGTTCCAGAACATACCCACACTTCTGACGCATAAGGGGTGAAAATGCAAGCTAAGCATGTAAGTTAAAATGGAAGCGAAGTCACAAAATAACTCCTTGCAATGAGGGGTATACAGTCTTTGTGTAGCCATACATAATTTACCATTGAAAAAAAAAATAACATAGAAACCTTAACGTGTGGATATATCCCTCCCTTAAAAGTATTTTTTATTTTTTCCATCTATTTTTATATTAAGATTAACATCTTTTTGGATAAAGGCTGGGTAATTTATTTCAGGGCTGAAAGTATAGCCTTCCTTCTATTTAACTAGTAAAATTACGGGATAAATTTGTTTCAAACTTCAATGTAAGATTTACAAGGCTGGATAATAATTTTTTTAAAGATACTTCATAGCCTTTGAGCTAAAAATATAGCATATGGAGTCACACAAATTTAAGAAATTTTATAAATTGTTGTTAATTAGATGCCAGCTGTTCATAAAAGAAAACAAGCTGTGGATACAAATGTTTATAATAGTAAATTTAAACTGCAAAATAATATCAGCTGGGTCAAGTCCTGGTAGAATCAACATACAAACCCAAAACAAGAAGACAGCAAATAATGTTATTATTGTCACGGACGTTCAGCTGACTTTCCGGTCTCGGGTTTCTGGGTGTTTTTCAATCAGGGTGTTTCACCTCAGATGAAAAGTATTTATTTGAGTGCACAGGTGCACAAGATGAACCCCCCCCCCCTCTCCACACCACCTTCCCCACCCCTGACTACCATCACAGCCAAACCCTGGGATATTTATGAAGAGTAGATTAAATTAGTTGTGTAAAAGAATAATGGTATTCACTATTGTAGAGCTATTATACAGCTCAAGACAGGTGTTAAGCTGCAAATAGATGAATTTGTGCTATTACTGTATCTAGATAATAATAACACAACTAAGCTTATTAACTGAGCGTGAGGTCATTAAAAGGAATCTCAGACTGAAGCCTTGATGATCAAGGCTTCAGTCTCAGATTTCCCTGTAAATGACCAAACAGTTAAGATTAATAAGTTATTTATTATATGGCCTTTTCATTATGGACTTGAGCCTGTGATCTAAAACCTAATAACTGGTCAGCAGATATCTTTTAAAAAACACATCACCTCAATGAGTTGTACACTTGACCCGGTCATGTGACACTGGTTAGCAGATACCCTTTTTGACAGCTGTCAACTAACCATAACATGGATGTCCATGAGGATGCCACTATCAAGTTATTCACAGATTGTGTATGCCTTGGACACCTAGCTAGTAATGCCCAGTTATTACAAGAAAACAGCTAATCAGAGAGCACTTGCTATTGTAGCCATATAATAAAGAAATTTTATGGTATGGTTTTATTCAGTATCATTCTGAAAATAAACGAAAATAGAATTTCAAAAATGAGATGTTAACAGTAGTACAATGTTTATCTCACTTAAACATTAAAAAGTCCATAAGACTAAAACTCGATGGCTTCGCACATGACAGCACAACACAGGTCACCAATAATCATCGATAATCCCGAAAGGTATTGTGGGTGGTTTTGAGTTCACTGTTTTTCAAAGAAATTTGAAAGATTGACAAGAGCAGCAATGGACGTATGTTTGTGAGTGCTAAAGGAAAGTACCAAAAGTAAGGTTTGTCAGCTAGTGTCAGGAACAGTGTATTGATCCTATCCCATATTACCTTTCAGGATTGTTGCCTGCACATTTTTTCCAACAACCTTTCTCAAAATAGCTGTAAATGGTTATATACATACAGTAGTAATAAATAAATTAATGATACATTGGTAACAGTAAAAACTTGCAAATTTTGCAAGTGGGCTATTATGATGTAAGCAGAAACCTATTTAATGGATTGAAGAGGTTATATGAAATGCCACAGCTGTCCAAGGCATAATACCAAGAATTTTAATTAAAGAGTACTCTGGTAAAAGCAAAGTTTAACAAATGCTTCATCAGGATTAAAAACCAGTTTATGTTCATAATAGTTTAATAACTGAATGGTTCTGCTGTGTTGTTCTTTAAATTTCAAGGAACATAAATTTACATTATTTTTGTTTCTCTGTTTATATAGATAATAACACTTGCCAAGCAGTGGTAAAACTGTTAATACCTACTTGTCATATTTCTGAGAATAATACTACTAGCCTGGCCTAGTCACAAAAGTCCTACTGCAACTTACAGAAATCTTCCTTTAATGTCACTTAATAGGGCCATCTAGATGAGGAAAAATAACACGTCTTGCATAAGACGCAAAACTTCCTTTATAAAGAGCACATTTCGTCTGAAATAAGACGTCACTTCGCTAAAACAAATCTTATCTTGAAGAATAGGTGTTAAGGGCTGTTCTTAGATGAGACACATCTTTGCTAAGTCATGGGTTATTTCAGACAAAATGTGCCGTTTATATGAAAAGTTTTGTATCTACTTTAGGACGCATCCTATTTAAGACATATTATATTTTTCCTTGTATAAATGGCCCTAATTGAAGTGAACTATTTTAAATACCTCTTGCTATTAGCGTTCTTATCCTTGCCCCAGGTCACCTAGCTTTCTGACAATAGAAATATCAAGATCAACCCCCGCTCCCCTCACTAAATTCACTGATACTGGTAATGAAACTACCACTGATACCACATCCCCCCAGTGGCATTTACATATAGCTGTTATATGGGGTCATAACAAAACCAACCAAGCAAATTTTGAAAAGAATGTGCAGCCTTTACTCCTGTTAACTACTATTAACTTAGGGAGAAATATTGGTGTATTCGTAAGGACTTTTCTACATGAATCTAGATATTTTTGAAAACAAAAAAAATTTTCCTCTGTTTTCAAACAAATCTGTGTCCAAAATTATTATGATTGTTTTCACCTGTCTAAATGAAGGTGCTAAAACCATGGAAATACGATAGTGTCCCTTTGGAGTCCACTCTGGGGACAGATTTTGAGAATATACACATTTGGTGCCCGAATACAATGTTATATGTGCAGGGAAAGGCAAAAATGAATCTGTTTTCAAATATGAATGGGGCCTTAGACGTACGACTCTACATCATGTTTTGAAAGATGATTAGCCTGAAAAAACAGCTGACTTTTTGCGACACCACCACTGGTTTCCTGGTGAAACGACATCTGAGAAACGAGCACAGAAATTACATACTGATGACATGTCATTACCCAGATCTGGGTAGTGGTTCTGATTGGCTGACGCAAATTTCCCAAGTGGCCCAACCAAGAGCAAAAGGGCATGGGGGAGACCCATGCAGCCCCCATCTAAGACCTAGTTCAAATGCTTTACTTCACACAAGGTAAATTGAATTCAATGAATTACGTTCATGTGAATTACGACATGTAAATCAATACGAAACTGCTAATTGAAAAAAGATTGGCTTGGCTGCTCCTCATCATGTCTGGCTCTGCCACGGCTGGGGACGGATGTGAATTCAAACGCTCAACTTCACGTTAGCCCAGCCAAATTATAAGGTATTTTGAATGCATTGCGCTCTTTTGCGTTTTGAATTAAGTTGGCTGGAGTAAAGATCAGCACCTGAATCAATAATTTATTATTCAGCTGCCCTTGATATATTTGGTGTGACCTAAAGAGGAATTTGATCCAGCTTATGTGAATTATGACATCTTGACCAGACCTAAGTTTCCCACCTCTTAGGATTCTAGAGCACAGTTCCACTATCACACAACTGACCATCTCAAGCAACCAGGGACAGCAGCCAAGTGGATGGCTACCAGAAATAAAAATACTTGTTAATAATAATACAGTAGAACCCCGGTAACGCAAACTCTGAAGGGAAACAAAAAACAGTTTGAGTTTGTGAGGGTTCAAGTTATCTGAATCAATTGGATATTCAACGTGCCATGTTAATAACTGATAGTTACTGATTTTTCAGCACTTCAGTGTATAGCACAGTGGAAATTTACTTGTTTCATCAGAACAGTAACATAATTATGCATTTATGATAAAAGGTGCACCAATTATAATCAATTTGCTGTAGTGTTAGTTCAGAATGTTTTTACCAAATAAACAAAAAGCAAAGCAATTGGGATGGCACCCAAATGGAGTTACAAGAACCAGACTTCAAGTTATTGGGGTAAATTTCAGAGAAATTTTGATCAGGGGAAAGGAAATTTAGTCAGCAGGGTTCAAGCTATGCAAGTTCGAGTTAGCCAAGTGAAAATGACTAGAATGTGGGGTGAAATCCAAGGGAAATTGGACTTAGTCCAAGTTAGTGGGGAGTTTGAGTTCTCAGAGTTCGAGTTACTGAGGTTCTATTGCATTGGCATTAGCACCATGCTATCCACCTCATTTTGCAGCAACCCATTCCACGAGTTTGGCAGAACATGGTTTTTTTTCATAGTTTTGTGCAAAAATTTGAACTCTCTTGTATTGTTGATGTCAAGGTTTTGGAAGGTGTACAGGTCACATTAAAACAAGCAAACTTTCATGTCCTGTTCAAAGAAGCCATTTGAAAAGACACAAAAAAGTTGACACTCTTTTCCAAAATAATTTCACACAAAGGAGATGCTCTAGTTGCACGCCCTCTCTTCCTTACTTAACTGTCCTTTTGGTCATCAAGGTTTGTAGTATTACAACTTATAAACAAGTTCTGGAATAGGAACTGGGAATACTCTACTAACCAGAAATATACATTCAAGTGCCCAGTGTCCTTAAATAAAATATATGTACCTGATTAGAAGAAATTTTTATTAGCTGTCATTAGAAGAGGAGACTGATATTGAGTCAGCAGATGAATCTCCAGTCAGTCTAAAATTGCTGTCAAACTCTAACAGTAAGCTGCTCCACTCAATTAGTTTCCTGATCATCTTCAGTTGTCTTTCTTGCTTCCTGATTTGTTCAGCAATTTTCTGATACTCTTTCACCAATTTAAAGTGCGTTGTTAGTTGCACGCTGCTTAGACCAGATGGAATTTCAACATTATCCAGCCATTCTAATTCACTGCTTTTAACTTCCTCCTCTGAATCCAATCCACTATGGTTGCTTAGGACCTCTATTAACTGGTCGCTGGGTGTTTTTATCAAACAGCTTAGGAGACTGGGTGACAAACTGACTTTTCTGTTTTTGTTATGCTCAGAAGACATGGTGGCTTCATCTACACTTTCCTGTGGTATAAAATCAATTTTTTGGTCCTCTGGTTCCTCCGGTGCACAAAGAGATGTTGAATGACCTTGACTAGGAGTTGTTGATATGGCATCATTTTCACCATTAGAAAAGAATTGCTTAAAGTGTTCTCTGTCGCGCTGAATTATTTTGCTTTGATTGGCACACACTTCATCAAAGTGTACCACAGTGGCTGTACAAGTAGTTGATTCTGGTTTGGAGTTCCACTGATTATAGGAAATGTAACAACAACTTTGAAGCCAAACCCAAGACTGTCCTTTGGTAAGATGTCTATAGTAACAAGTAGTGACCTGGCCACGACCAATCAGAACCTTGTGATATTGAGAAATATTGAAAACTTCTTCGGGACTACAGTAGTCATAAAAAGAGGTTCCAAGTAATTCAAAGGGCAGAAACCCAATAATAGAAGAAGCCCTGTGGTCAAGATATACATATTTCCAGTCCATGCTCAGGCGATACGAGAACTGTCTACACTGAGAGTCACTGGTGACAACTATTTTGTTTGGTTGCGGGTAATGAACTTTTCCTACAATAACAATACAGTTTTGCTGGGAAATAAAGGTTGTTTTGCACTCCACAGCCTGATATGTATTTCTCGAGTAGAAATTTCCGCACTTTATTCTAAGCTGGAAAGACTCACCCTCCGAGGGTAAAGTTTTTTTCTCAACACTTAACAATAGTGGCAAAATTCTCAAGGCATCGTCTTCATGCAAGTACCCTAATAAGCTTGTGTCCTGCATTTGTTCGGGACGATAGCCCAACAGAGGCAATACGCTTTGAGACGCAAACGTGATTTTTCCGTTGCTCTCAGTTGCTAGTGTAAAAGAGTTCGAGGCTTCCAACATTATCAAATTGAATTCTCCATCTGTAACGAACGACGGCTGCCATTTCGTCGAAGCGGAGTGCCGGCTGGGTCGTGGAGCAGACCGAATATGTGACTGGTGATTCTGTAAGAAGTTTATGGCACGTTTAAGCACTGTTGTTTTATCCAACTTCCGTTCATTTTCCGGCAATACAATTTCTGCTATCTCTTGTACAAGTACATTGAACCGGTCTCTGCGCTTCTTTTCGTTCAAATTTCGACTTGAACGTTTCAATTCGCTCTCTTCGCCTCCGTCACCCTCTCCTTCATCGTCTTTTACGTTCATGGCGAGTAAACCTACAGCCGATTTCTCTCAACATTATAGTAAGTGCCCACTTTCTTGCACTTTCCCCGAAAGTATTGTTCTACATCTGTTTCCAACCATAATAACGTGATTCAACTCCAACACAAATGACACAATGGGACCGAGTGTCGCGAATTATTGTGAATTGCGCGAAACGTGACTTGTGCTTTTCAAGGGGGTGGTAGCCAAGTCAGTCCTCGTTCATGGTATAGTTCGCTTCACCAAGTATACTACCTTTCTTATGAGCCTTAAGTATCAGCCATTAAATAAAGTGACTATCTTTAGGACAAATTCTAAAGTGAACACTCTTTCTTCAGCGTCACTGCTAAGAAAGTAGCATTAAACTTTAGCCCTCCCCTCCCTACATTGATTAGAAGGTATCCGCTCGTTTGTGCTTGTCTGAATCACGTTTTTCAATATACGATTGTTTGGCCACTTCTTGAAGGGATTTTTAGCTCTCTCTTCTTCCCGACAGATGGTTTGCCATTTCATTACTAAAAGAATTAGTTTGGAAACACGACTTTCACGGTTCGTTTCACGAGTATTCCGGCCCGGCAGGACGCCCGGCCATAATTTTTGAAGGAACGTCTGACCCAGGCTCTTTCCTCTGGCGGGTAGGGGGGGTTATTCGAAAACATTGTGTGATATCCAGTCCATCATAAGCGCGTATTTATGAAACATGGAAAAGGACGAATACGGCTGCAACAAACACAAAACCTTGGAAGATCTTCTCATCTTCTATAAAGAAGGAGCTTCAGATTATGATAGGGTGAGTGAGTGGGTTTCAGGATAAAATTCACTTGCATCCGTGCTGTAACCTTTATGTCGTTCAATATTTAGTCTCCCATTGCACATCATATGACAAACTGTGTGTATATTTTATTTCTTTTCATCGCAATAAGCCAAGGCGAGGCCATTTAATTGTTTTGAACTTTTTGGTTTCAATGTCAAGATTATGAACCCTTCTAATATTGCTACACTATCATCTATCGGTCAGTCTCAACTTCTCTCTGAGTAACCCACCTCCTCCCCCCCCCTCGCCAAACCCCCAAACCTCATTAACCCGCATATTTTTGAGTCACATTAATTTTTTTGCCGATTCTGTGCAATACAGCCTCAAATTTCACCCATTAACATGTGCTAAAATAATGTGAAAAGTAATCTAGTGTGGGAAAGAACTAATTCTGATTTAAACTTTTCAGGATGTGAAAGACTATAGAGGGTATGTGGGGCATGAAACATCAGCAGAAGTATTTGTAAGCATCTTGAAACAGCACAACTTCCCTGAAAGTTCTAAAATTCTTGATGTAGGAGCTGGGACAGGTCTAGTCGGAGAAGAGCTGCACAAAAGGAAATTCACCAATATAGATGGCTTTGATCCATCACAAGCTCTTCTCAACGAAGCAGAAAATAAGGGAATTTACAGTCGCCTATTTGTAGATGTGTTAGGACCCAATCATCAAGTAAAAGTGGCAGATAACACCTATGATGCAGCCATTTGTGTGGGTGTTTTCACACTGAACCATGTGAAGGCAGAAGGTGCTATGGATGAAATGGCAAGAGTGGTTCGTCCAGGTGGCTTGATCTGTTTCACCATCAGAGAGGATGTCATGTTTGAGTTGGAGTATGGGTACGAGGAGAAAATGCAGGAGCTATGCCGTAATCAAGTCTGGAAATTGGTATCAAGCACCAAGGAGCAGTACCACAGCAAGAATGATTTCAAGAAGTGCTTTTTGTTTATTTATGAAGTATTATAACCTGTGAAGCTAAAATAACTCTGTACTGATGTAAAAACCTTTTTCATAGAGTATGGTATAAAAACTAGGACAGTTTTCCTGTGTTCTCCTTGCTCAATGCAATAATGCAATGGCTACTTTATTATACGGCAATTATTGCTTCATACGTGGACAAAAAAACATTGTCTCATGATCCTGTCACGGAGTTTTATTTACTCATATTTTATTTGTTGTTCCTATGTTTATTTCCTTATTATTATTGTTATTTCTGTATCAGTTATCGAGAATTTTCATTTTCCACTTTCATAGACATGAAATTCCATACTATAGGCCAAAAGGGGTTTGTTTCATTGTGCTATTTTCATCCAATTAAATTGCACACCGTTTTGCTCGTAAGATAACAACACAAAACAAAGCAGCCAAATATGCACAAGTACTCAGTTTGAATGGAGAGAACCTAGCGTGAGTAGCAAGCGTTTCCGTGCAGTTTAGGAGCAAAGAACGAGGAACGAGAGTCAAAGACCGCGTGAAAAATGGCATCATTTTTTGGCTCTTGTTTCATTTCTCACGCGGCCAAAACCGAGAATCCCGTTCCTCGATCCTTCTTTACTCTGAAACCAAACGGAAACGCTTGCTACGCAGGCTAGAGAGAACCTCACACCTTATACTCTATAATAATATGGTAGGTATATCAGAGACCCCATCAGACTCACAGTTCCAGGCCCGATCAGAAATTGGTGCTTTAAGGAATTGAGTTCTGTTGCATTTGGGTAAAAGAAACTTGAAGTAAAACCAGATGATCCTCAGTTCCTCAGATTTTCAAATCAACTCTGAGTATTTTATGTCAAAAACACCAGCTTCCCACTACCTCCACCCCCAACTCATGGCTAGACAATAAAGACTTCTATTCTGAACTGTTGAGTAATAACCTTTGTTCATCTGCCGCACCCTCTCAAAAAAAAAAAAAAAAAAAGGAAGAGAGACATAGGTCCATCTAATTGCCAACAAGCAGCCTCTTGAAGACAAGGCTGCAAGGCGGCAGCATAATAAAGCCGCGCGAAAGTTCCAAGGCACAACGAATCTCGAAGCGATGTTAGATAAGGTAGTGTACGGTAACTTTTATGATGTAATACAGAACAGAGAATGCATTGTTTTTGAGTGAGCACATGCATAGTATAATGCATGAGTGTGTTCCCTGACAGTAAATGATGGACACATGACATGACATGACCTACCTGCAGCCTGCATTCTCGTAAATTATGGTAATTCATGACATTTCTTAACAACTTAAACAGCCTACGCATGTATGTAAAATCTTTGCCCTTTTGCACTTAGCGATAGCTATAACTGGTTATGCGAGAAAAATATGGTGTGTCTTACACAAGGTGCATCTTAAGATAAGAGACACATACTGAACCATTTTTAAGAGCATATCAGCTGCATCTTAGTTAAATAAGGTCTTATTTAAGATGCAAAGTGTTTTTGTGCCATTTATACAAGAAGTTTGCATCTTATTCAACACACTTCTTTTGTAACATGTCTCTGCTTGAAAGCTGATGATTCCAGTACTAGTCCACATGAGGTTTCATAATTTGCGTTTTGTCCATTACAAAGTAAATGTGTACTTTACACTTTGCAAAGTGCAAACATCAATGTTTATTTATCTTGGCCAATCAGAAAAGTGCTAATAAATATTTTTTTTGAACATACAAGTATATTATACCTTCAGAAAGTCCGGTTGTTCAAAACTAGATTTATCTTAACAATATTACAAATTCCATGTCAAAAATGTAGCCAAGCACTCATTATTCTATATTTTTCTTCACTTAAAATGTTTCCAAAAGCTCTGCTCTCAAGATATATGATAAAGACAAGAATATTCTGAAGTCACATATTTGAAATACGTAAGGTCTATAATCTTGTGGCTTTCCATTTGGCTTTATAATTTTAGCTTAATAGTGACAGACTATGGTTAAATTCTCCATAAAACGCCGTTGACAGACAATTGGGCAGGAACATTGTTGTCATAGAGAAAAAAAGGCAGAAGTAATCCAAAAAACTTAAAAGGATACAATTAACATTCAATTAAAATTGCAAGACAATAGAAATCCAAGCTGGAATATAATAAAAGCAAAATTTGCAAAATTCTCACAGTGTGCTTCTAATTTAATATTAGACACTCCAACAAAAACATTTTATATAAGGACTGGTCTTTGCTAAGTTCATGCTACCCATCTCCAGTGTGTTCAACAAACATGCAATTGTTGATGAGAGAGTATGTGATAGCCTTAAAAGTTGCCAGGAAAACAATCAAGTATCAATGAAAACAGTTGCAATCTGTCACCTGAGAGTGCAAAACAATCCACTTATTGTGTTCTTTTGCCTCCTTCAAGCAAATTAATATTGAAAAGAGCAATACAAATGCCTTTTTATACAACAATAAATGTTCCACTTCTGATAGGTGTTATTAAATGTCTATCTACAAAGAATTGTTTGTAAGAAGTTTTTGCAAGATTATGTTTTACATCAAATGCAAATATAGCCATGAAGAGATGCGGGGGCTGTAAGCTCATGTTGGGGCAGTTAAGTTGTCAAGCAAAAGAACTCTGATCTTTAATCTTGCATATCAGGACCATGGAGAATATCATGCTGAGAAGCTGTCCAAAAAAAAATTCAACAAATAAAGTTAAATCATTGCTCAAAAGCAGTTATTCAGTTATTCCATACCCGGAGGAGTACTCCCTTATATAAGTCATATGGTTTTTGCGTCGTTTCGGTCTGAAAATGGGTATAGACTTTGTCCATTTTTGTCTGGAATCAGCTATGGTTTTCGGGGGAACTACGCAAGTGTATTAATGTACTTGTCATTTCAGTTCCAAAGGAATGAGAAAGAAAGAGTAATATGCGAATCTGAATTTGATTCTGACAAATCTTTTTGTTGGAGTTCTTATCTTAAACCTAATGACATAATTTCTGCCTGTTCCAGATCTGAAAACAGGTACGGATTGTAGAGGCCAGCTCTGAAAACGGCTGCCTGTGAAAAGAAAGTCATTTTACAGCTTGCCATTTAGGCAAGCTGTAGCTAGCATGTACTGGCCCAAAATTCATTTCAACCAGCCCCCAAAACGTTTTGATGAGAAGGATTGACTACACAGTTCTTATGTAATTTGAATTCCTCACAAACCTTCATTTGCCCGTTGGCAAGTTAAGAACAAAATTCACTAGCCTGATAGGAAAATCCACTAGTCCCGGGCTACTGGACACTACTTTTCGTTGCATGCTGAAATGGTTGTGGAGAATAGCCTTTTTTGGTCAGAAATAGGGTCAGGATTCGGAAAACCAAGCGGCACAGCCCCACCAAGAATCCCCAGGAGTACCCCCCGCCCCCACAACAAAGATTCCACAACAAGAGGAGGACAGGGAAGGGAAGTGTGCCAAAACCATTTGGCCAGAATTGTAGGTATGACTGACAAAGAAGGAGACCTTTAATTTCTCAGATCACAGAATACTGGAACCTGGATATAATAAAAAACAAAGGGACTGGTAAAGTATGCTTGCTACAATGAGGGTTTCTAATACATTGAGGGTCTCTTTTCCATGTAATATTATTACATATTAACCATAGTTACTGGAGAGTAGAGTATTGCTTTTGTAAACAGAGGACTTAATTCACTGTAAAGAGGTTTGTTATATTGAGGTTCCATCCTGTATAGCAAAGCAAAACCAATATTGAAAGGAATGACAAAATAAGAATCTGGTACTAAAATGTTCCAGATTTGTCAAGAATCGCGACAAATCTTCTCAGTGTAAACCTAGCTTGACTTTTAACACAAAAGAAATCAGTCATTTCTTGCACAATATTATTATTGTCAGGGTATTCATAATTTCTTAAAATAATCTAGTAGCAGGAGAAAGGTGTACAGGAGAATATTTTGAAAGAGGCTCCACGTCTAATAGAAAGTAGCCGTAAGCTACCTAATGTTTGCCAGAGAATTCTGCATAGTAAATGGCAAATTCTCCGATCCCCAATGTCTAATGAACACCCTGATTGTGCACTACATTGAGGTGAAATTGTATACAAACCTGAATGACAGCCACTGCAACTCCAATTCCACCAATGATCATCAAGTTGTCTTGCAGTAATTTCAGCGTCTTTTGGTAGCAACCCTAAAAATGATTAAAAGACAAAAATGTTGCAACATAATATTGTAATATTTTGTTTATTTATAGATAAGCATAAAAATTATTAACAAACTTCATCCCACCCAAAAAGGAAATACAGGTGATATGACTTAGTGTGTTTCTTGGTTGATTAAATGTCCCAGGGGGTATTCTGCAGTTAAAGTGACAGGTATGATCAGAAGGGGGCCAAATTCAAAACCCCCCAAAATCCCTAGGGCTTCCAATGAAACCCCCTGAAAAACCCTAGACCAAAGAAAAAGTAACCTCCCCAAAACCCCATGTCGATTTCTCAGTCCTTAAAAAAGTTTCTTGAAGGAGTCAAAAAGATCTTACTATTTCATGCAGAGTCTTTCTCAAGAACAACTAGCTCTTAAGGCTTACTTCAGTGTAAATGTTATCTTCTGAAAATTTTTTTCCACATTCTGATTTCATTTCCTTACAGCAACTGTCAGGAACAATGCTATGGCTTCCATTGGTGAAGGGAGTTTTTCGCCAGTCTTTATAGCCATTAACTCCACAACATTTCTCCTGTTGCAGAAAATCAAAATATAATATTAACCTTTCCATTGAAAAGAACTTACATTTTGTACACAGTATAATTATAACAGAATCATATGAAAAGTTTGAGCCAAATCAAGTGTATTTAGAGCCAAATCTCACTTAAGGTCACCACTACAAGATGGACACCTTGCTAAAAGGGACACCTAGAGTTGGTCCGTGTCCTTCGTTACTCCTTTTAGTTGACTCTCTTTAAGACGGACATCTCTCTAAGACGGGCACAGAGTGCTGGTGTCAAAGGTGTATACCAATAATTGGTATTGAATATAAGTTCCTGACTACAACCACACTTTTGACAAAAAATATTGCCAAATCTTGGTGACTGGACATAGCCTGGGAATTTATGCACAGATACTTTATAAGCACCAGTGTTCAGGGCTGTCAAAACGTTTTTAAGTAGCAGGCCAATAATGAAGAGTAGGTGGCTTTGGAACTTGCACCAAAGGCACAAGTTCTTGAGGGCAGAGGCATCTAGGGATATTTTGAAGTTTAGAGTCTCGGAAATGGCGTTTCCAGGGGTTTTGAAGAGGTATTTTCCACTGCAGACGCCATGTTGTTTTGTCAGAAAACACGCAAGACTGGGAACAATGCCATCGAAATGTCCCAGGTGTTCCACGACATCGCACGGTTCAAATGTTTCACAGATATAAACCTGTGTAAATAAGGGTTCAATGTCATTCAAAACCGGGAAACATATGCGTTATTTGATGGTGCCTATTTTTTGTCAGCAGTTATGGTAGAAGGAGATGGAAGAAGCCGGCTAAGGATGGCTAACTAGCCGGGAGTTTTGGCTGGCTACCGCGGCCCTTATTAACAGCCCTGAGTGTTGTTAACTCTTTCATGGTCGGACTAAAACGAAATTCTGAACTCCACTTTCCTGTTCTCATACTCAAAACTAAAGGATATACCATTCTCAAAGCAAATACAGTCACACCCCATTAATACTGGCACTGTGGGGACCATAGAAATTGTCCGTATTAAATTAATGGGGTGTCAGTATTAGGCAGGTTGCATATTTTAGAGAAAATATATTTAAGCCACTTTCTGTCCCCTGTGATGAAGCAAACTGTCCGCAATGATGAGGTGTCCACATTAAGTGGGTGTCCGTAAAGCGTGGTTTGACTGTACAAGACTAATAGCACAGTAAACTAAGCATTGGGGTTAAAGGAGCTGTGTCACAAAATTCAGCCAAATTAGGAAATTACAAAATGCCTGTTAAATTAAGAGAAACAGAGAAATAACCGCTTAAAACTCCATAGGAAGGTTAAAATATAATAACATAACAGAAACAACAGGTGCCTCGGATGGGCAAAACTGAAGAATATTGAAACGGATTGAAGTTAGGGTTTTTGAAAACTGTTCAGCCTAACAGTTTTTCAAAGTTGATCCCTGCTGCTTGCAAGTTTAATGCTCAGGAGACATATTTGTTTGTCTTGAATCTCTGATTTTGTCATTTACATGTAATTTCTTTGCTTACTTTAAGTTCCATAGCGATTGAGGGCGAGTAATATTGGCAAAATTAAACAAAATGAACTGGACTGCTGTGACACAGCCCCTTTAATATTGGCTTCAGGAACAATGAAAGGAAACAGTGCAACTTTGCACCAAGTAATATCACTTTATACATAATGATGGGAATATTAAATGCAGTCCTAAATCTATTATACTAGAATATTATTCTGTTCTACTTTCTGCAAGAGTCAACTTTAATACAAAATCTTTACAAAGATAAGTAAATACCAATGCAATAATACTGTACTTTTTCCTGCAGCAAATCAAAAGCTTTGGTCACTCCATCCTTGCCGTCCTCTCCGTACTGACCCAGAGCGTTGTCCAGATCTTTCTTTAACTCTGTTTTGACCTGTAAATTGAAAATGGAATCAAAGCTGTTCAACACTTCTACTACTGACCATAACAGAACCACAGCTAGGAAAGTATAAAAGCATTTTTTATTAGTGTGTCTTATATATATATTTCTCAAACACATTCATAATTCATAAAGAAAATACAAAGGAAATTTAAACATTTAATAAGTGTTTGGAAATCAGATGAAAAACTTTTCATTTTTGTATCATTAATTTCTCCTACTAAAATCATTTTGTTTGAGAAGTAATATCAAGCATTCGACACAGTGTTTCATCACCAGATTAAACAACTTGAAGTTTGTCTCTTGGCATTTCAACTGGTGATGAAACACTGCATCTCATGCTTGAAATATTCCTATATATATAAATAACATGATAAAAGTGAGGGAAATGAACAGTTCGACTTAGCAGGGAATTCAAGTTATAGGGGTAAATTTCTGTGAAATTGTGATCAAGGGAAGGGAAATTTAGTTCGAGTTAGCAGGGAATTCGAGTTGTCGAGGTTCTACTTTAGTATAAATACTAATCTACTATAATCATAATTATTTACATAATTTTAAATCTCAACTTGATCAGTGAATGTAAGAAAATGAAAATGGAATAGACCACATGATGATGAATTGAATTTCTATGATGAAACAGACCACGCTAGCAGGTGTGTAAAGCTGGTGCTACACACTTGGCCCAGTAGTTCAAATAATGTACGGTTTACCAAGAACTATCCACTGGATACATGTAAATCTCTACCTTGTAGATAATGCGACAATGACAAAAGGTAAAAGGTAGAGAGTCCTTATTTTAAGTTGGTAGCTTCAAAATAGTTATCTGACTAACAAACCTGAGATGGTGTGATGGTGTGATGGTGTGCTCCTCCCCCCCCACCCTCCCTCCATCAGTGTTCTGTTTTAAGGGTATTTAAAGCTACACGGAAAGGAAAGAAGTCGAAACAAGGATTTGTGGTCACACCTGGGAACCAAACTTGGGACCTACCACACAGAAGGCTGTGCACTAACCAACCGTGCTGATCTTCCCTCCTTGAAAAGTACTGGTTTGCATAATACATGTACTTTGCAACTGGATAATAATTTTATTAAATTTTCATGGATAGTGCTGTATCCAACTCTTGGTTAACCTGGGCCTGAGTGAAAGAGATTTCTAGTCTATAAATGCTGAAACAAAAAGAAACCTCCAGGATTACTACACTGTTGTACCAGAATATTGATTACCCAGGGTTGTCAGAAAGTTTTGAAGTACATAGTTGTCAAAGTAAGCGGCCAGTCCAGGGATATTTTATTTAAAAAACGCCATCCGTAAAAAATGTCAAGCAGAGTAACCAGTTGATACCAACCAAGTAGGTGGCGATTTTCGCCAGCAGTCAGCTACTTTTGACAACCCAGATTACTCATTTTATTCACCACGCTCTAGTTTTTAGGACACATACAAAACAAGTTAGTGCAAGATTTTTCTTCTTACCTGATCACGATATACATAACCCAGAACTGTTCCTGCCACTTCCAAACCAAACACCAGCAACATCAGTGCAAAGAACTGCAGAGAGAGGGAAAAAACACACACACACACACACACATTTAACCTCCAGGTATAAAGACTGAAGTTTATTCTGCTAGGGAAACTGAGAATTTCTATCATTCAATACGTTAATATGTATAAAATTTAATCAATAATAGTAACAAATATTTCACTGATCAAAAGCCAAATTATTTCAATGACTTTTAATTATTAAAAATCATTGAATTCAGCTTTTGTATCATCTGAAGAATTACACATGTATGAAGATCTTGGAGAATGTTATCTGCCAAGCTCGTAACACCCTTTGAGATCTCCATAATTCTTCAGATGAAACGAAAGCCGCATTCAATAATATTGTTTTATTATTCATTCAAAATAATTCCTAGTTTAAAAACAACCTAAAACATTCCTACCTCCATTGACAAGTTTAGTAGATAAAGGGTTGTTCAGGTCTGCAATATTATTATATTATTATTACAAATATTATTATATTATTGTCCTAATCATAACTATAACAAAATTGTCAAATCTGATTGGCTATCAACTGCCCTGATTTCAGCCTTAATTGGACAGTTTAATAGGACAGTACGCATCATGCCTAAGTAATTGGACAGTATGCACCATCATGCGCGCGCTTAAATGGCTTTTTTTTTCACTGCTAGCAAAACAAAATTTCGAATTTCTTGTGTTTTGATTTAAAAAATAGCCTATTATATCACAGATTTTGTTAAAGTTATGATTAATTGGTAACAGAACTTCGTGTCGTCCAATTCCGTCTGTAATCATACTCGTGATTAAACAAATCGGACTCCCGCTACGCGGTCGTCATGTTTTTCATATCAATAGCCTTGCACTTAGCCTTGCTTTGAAATAGAGGCTTGTAGCATAAAATAGATATAGCAAACTAACCGCAAGGGGTAGCTTATCCATTTGCAGGTGAAACCAGCATTCAGTCTAGGTTACCTTGCAGCTACAAGCTACAGTGTAACCGTTCTGTTCTTATAGGTTGATTTCTGGTGCAACCAAAGAAAGGAAACTTTACCTTCAATATATCCACCGTCTTGGGTAACACTAAACTTAATCACAAATATTATTTTTGATTCCTTCTTAATCGAAAAAAATACTGTGCGTATCAAGCAGGCAGAAAGTTACACTCTACATACCGTTCCAAGGAGGCATCTGTTTTCCTTGATAGCTCCACAGCAGCCAAAGAACGAAATAACAGCAATGATTGCACCAACTGCCATGATGATGATGGATCCTGTCACATACTTCACAGAGGATAGTTCTACATAGTCGCCAATGTTCAGATGGACATAGATCCCCACTCCAAGTAACCCAACACCACCCAGCTATGAAACAAGTAACATACTTTCTATTAATGTGGCTGAATGAAGTTATGGCTATGTTAAACTCGAGACAATGCTGACCGGCAGCCTCTCATTTGTGATTTTTGGGGGCCCTTTGTAGCTTTGCAGGGGCATTTGGGCTTTTTGGCTGAGGTCAGTCCAATAAGTTCACATTGCTTTGTGCTTGTTAGTCTGTTTTGCTCCCTTCCCTGCCCTCCCTTTGGTTAGTATAGGGATTTCTAGGTTCCACTGGTTAGCAGTGTGACAGTGTCCAATGATTGCCACTCACAGGGTTGTCATTGTTACGCCTTGCTCTCGGCTTCGGTTCTCAGCTGCAACACATTTTCAGGCATCTCCCCTCACCCTCATCTTTGTTGATGAATAAAGTTATTTGCTAGATTAAGTTATTTGCTAGACCACATTGATATAATAACAATGTAGGTAGTGTAACACTAGGTTTACAGAGGAAAAGAAAGAGAACTTACAAAGAATATGAAGTTGAATACAAACAAGAGGAATTTGATGCATTTGGCTCCTCCTTCCACAGCCATGATTGGGTATCTGAAAGTGAAAAATACACATTTACATTGAACAATGTATTATGAACTGCTTCTGCATATTGTTGTTTTCTTAATCAATCTCGTTATGAAATATTATGAATTAATAATGATAATAATAATGTAATAATAATAATAAAAATAATAAGTTAATAATAATAGGCAAGACTGCCTTATTAGGAACAGCACGAATCCTCCAACGGGTTCTTGAGTACCAAGGTTGCAGGACGTGACTTGTACCAGGAACTGGTTACCAGTTGAATAGTGGGAGTATACGATCGATGGTTCACAAGAAAATGTCCTTAGTTTAAATTACTGCTCCTTCCGTGAGGAAACGTTGAGATTTATTTGCTTTTGTCAACTCACCGTGAATGAGAAAGTTTTTTGTTGCTTCTTGCAAATGGTGTCAACAGTGGATACAATGTACTATCGAGGTGAGCATTGTTTATCTGTAGTGTTCTTTGACTTGTTAACTTGCTAACATGTACAATTTTCAAGGATATTTGCCTTCCTTTTTTACCATAAATTAACTTCTATTTCTAGGCAAAATTTGACTTGCTAGGAAATCCCGAGTTCACAAAACAAATGACAAAGTGGCCTCGTTTTTCTCTGTAGTGGTAAACATTGTTTTGAGTGTATAAAAAGGCAGCTATAGTAAATCACTTCACAGTAAAATCACGCTGTTTAAACACCATGAAGTCTTTTCTCACCTTCAAAAACGTGAACACAGGAATATTCTTGTATGTTCAAAAAGACCTTACTCCGAAACTTTGGCAAAACATCAAGTTCACGACAGTGATTTTGTTTTTCTTTGTAAGCTTATTCACCACCTAACATGGGGAATATAACGTGTAGTAGAATCTCTTTTGGCATATGCACTTCTGCAATGGTTAATTTAGCTCTTAAAAGAAATGTGAGCTCTTGGGCTCAGAATGGCTTTTCCCCGGGAGAAGAGCTGTCCGCTATTTCCTTTCTTTCGATCACAACATTCCGAATGCTTACATTCCAACGTGTGCGCCTCACAAACAAATTCAGCTGAGACTGTGCAGTACGGACTGGAAGGCAGCATTTGTGTTTAACGAAAATCTGACCTTTCTTTTATTGATACTTGCTGAGGCCGTCTAGTTTTTTAAGTTTGTCTTAGTTAAGGTCTCGGTAAATGAAAATTTTAGTACATTGCTCAATTTTGTTTTTTTTGGGATTTTTTGCATGAGTGGGTCCTAGATTTTATTTTGACACAAAAAGAAAATCAGAAAGTGCTTTTTAACCCTTCTAAAATGAGCCTTTTCTGAGCTAACCAGCCAAGCGTGGACCTCGCGCTAAATCTTTAGAGCTGATTTTCTCTCACTTTATTTTAGACGGAAAAATCAAAATTCTCCGACCTCCAGTCGGGACAGGTTTTAAGCTATCGCTTTGAAACTTTCAGATATGATGGATAATGATATAGACTCAAAAAGGGTGTGAGGAATTTTCCGATTTCCCTTTGTAACTCATTTTATGTCAGTTTCTTTAATACGAGACATTTTATGCAAATTTCCTCACACCCTTTTTTAGGTCTTTTATCTGTCAATCAGACGCAATAAAAAGGAAGTGAATATTTAACAACGCAAAAGGGCTGGAGCTTCAGCGCCTTTTGAAATTCGATGAAATAAAATCTTTTATAAGGTAATTTAGTCTTTTAGCTTTAATTTGATATATAACTTGCCTTTGTAGCGAAAATACTCGCGCGACTAGAATTTTTGTCTGTGGGCACCTCGTTTTCCTTTACCAAGATCTTAAGAGTTAGGATATCATCAGTTGAATTCATAGAGATAAGGACATAACTATCGTGAGAGTTTAAATTCTGCCTACTTTATAGACAGTTTATGATGGACAAGCAAAGTGTCTGTCTCATAAGGGCCCATAACAACTCAACACTTTGAGTCAGAAGTTGATGCTCTCCTTGGAAGATGAATAATATTGTACCGTAGTGCATTAATTATTTATGCAATCCCTTTCAGTCTCACAGCATCTTTCTAATATTTTGATCAGTTCTAACAATTTGAATAATATATGGATTGAAACGAATCAAGACTACAACGGACTGAACGCAATCTAAGCATCCCAATATTCCTTCACTCACAGAAAGAAAAATAAAAGCTATAAATAGATATTACAATGTATGAAAGTAAAACATACGAGTGTCAGTATAAACTTCCTTTTATAAAATTCCGCACAGCACCTGCAACCGTAAAACTCGCATTTCCAACGCCTATATATATAAAAGGTCTTTAATTGAAAGTGACTTTACGTGCGCTTAACCTGTCATATCTCAACAACCATTTTAGATGCTTGTAGCGAAGCAAAATTTTCTAATAACTTGTCCTTGGTTGGTTATTAAAACAAAGTTAACAGTTTGTAGCTTACCTTATGCATATACCGTAGTCTTGCCTAAAGTGATGTCCCGATACGAGGGTTTTTATAAATTTTTGGTGAGTTTATCAACTCGTAAATGCTGGAAACGGTTCGATAAAAACCCAAGTTGACAACTTGGAAAACTGATATTTTTCAATGTTCTTGATAAATGTACGAGAAAATAAATATTGCTCCAAAACTAATAATAACAAAGTTAGCAAAGCTCTTTATGCATTATTATTTGCAAGCGATAACGCTTTTAAACATAAGATTAAGAATAAAAAGACTTCAGTCAAGCATGCATACAAGTGAGCGTTTCCGCGCTGTTTCTTAATAGCGTGGTTTAGCAGGTGTCCGAGTATGGAACAGAATTGCTTATCTGCGCAGAGTAAAAACGTTTATCTAAATAGGAAGTTTAAAAAGATCATAATAACAAACACTAACGGTACCTTCTTTTTGAGAAAGAATCGAAGAAGCTTATGGAGATCTTTGACAGCAACAACAGCAGCTCGTCCGATATAATGTGGGAATCGTGGGAAACTGGGGTAGAGTTAAGGAATAGTCACGTGATGTGGATTGCGGGGGATTTGAAATCAACAATCGGCGGGCCGGGGGCCGGGGGCCGGGGGACTGTACTCCTACAGTAGCCTTTCCGGGGAAGGGAGGCTCTGCTCAAAAAGAGGGTACTTTTTTTAAGGCTTCCAGTATAGTCCCAGTATATAGTTGAAGTATATGAAAGAGTAGAGAAATCTTGGAGGGGCTTATTTTCGGAATTTTACAGTATGTATTTGCAGGAGCTCCTGGTATTTGCTCCCTTTCAGTTCTAGTCTCCTGGAAGCTGTTTTTTGTGTCATCACGCAGCTCAGATAACGGTCCCTTCGTACTATAAAGAGAAGACAGCAGCCTGCTCCTCGAAAAGACTATTTCAGCCCATAATGAATGACGTATGTGGTGAATACCCCCCATTCAAGGAGCTGCTGATAGCTCCAAATGGACATCCATTAAGTCTAGAATTCTGATTTAGAGTAGCTGAATCGTTGATATTTTAGTTTTTCTTTGCAGCAGCTTATGTACCCAAGGTTCCACAATTAATGGATAAACCCATACACAGCTTTTAAAAATATGGAAGTGCTAAGTACTGTATCCTGTCCCGTCACAAGGAAGTGAAAACGCGCACGAAACTGTAAAATGGAGTATTATATATTGACCACTTAAAACTTAGCTGAAACCCGACCTTCAAGAAACCGGAAGTGAAAAGCAAGAGTAAAAGAAAACAAAAACCCAAATGAGAACCCCTCATGGGTGGGGAGAATGAGTTACCAGGCCTTGTCCAGCCTTGTCACGTTTGGGCGCGCGACCAGTCGCGGGTGGAAACGCCGGGAATCGACGAGAAAGAAAGCTTCTTTTGGTCTTTTCTCTTAAGACACTTTCTGTTCTTTAGGAAAGACTTTTAGAAGCTTCCTTCTGTCGATCCCCAAAATTTGAGCCGTACTGCACGCGCGGAAAAGTTCTGATGCAAGCGTCCGAAGACGTTCGTGCGATCTATCATGGCGGTTTATATTGCATCATCCTCTGTGCCCCCGACTGCCGGTCATGTCTTGATATATAAACAGGATCGTGATTCATCATGTTTAATTACAATTCATTTACAACAACAGAAGAAGTCAGAGACACAGTATGGACATCTATGTGAAAGAAAAATTAATCAAGAAGAGGTCTTTTAATACAAGATTTGGAATACTAACATATTTTCCGTGGCCTTTGAAAACAAAATTAGAATTTGCTGAAGCTTGTACCAGTGAATACGAGGGGAAGAACTTGCCTTATATACTCAAATTAAAAACAGTTTGGAAAGACGCTTTTATCAGCGAAAGTGGATCAAAAATCGAATATGCTGGGAGAAATGTTTGGAACAGTCTTGCAAGGAGCAGTTATTTGCTTGGGAGTTCCTTTCCTACTTAAGTTGTGCTTGAATTTGTTTGGTTCGTCGATCATCGGTGAGTTCGGCCTTGCCATTGTAATTATGAATTTTTTGCTTTCGGAGGATATTAGTAAGAGAGACTCAGCAATTTTCCTGAGTAACAGTTCCCAAGTTGCATCATCTTTTTATGAATTTATTTTGTGGCCCATAATATTCAAAAAACGGATTGTTCATAGTACCTCAAAATCCTCTCTATTATTGTGAACTTTTTAGTCATTCATTTTTTGATAGCCTATACTGCATAGCTTGTTTATTAGGCTTGTTTTTCCATTAAAGGGAGGACCTTTAACTTGGCTGCGTTTTCACCACAAGCTCCAAAAGGGCATTAGCCCTGATAAGGTTACTCTGATTGAAAACTTATGCACATATTTGTGTTTTTCTGTTGTATCCCAGCCAACAGGTTTCTTGCCTGTTTGAAATTTTGGGTGACCCCTTAGACGTTATACAGTCGAACCTGGTCAATACGGACACTAAGGGAACATGCCGTAGTGTGTGTATTAACCGGGTATCGGTATTAAGCAGGCTCTCGGAAAAAATGTCATGGACATATGCTCTATTGATGTGAAGATGGGAGAAGATGAGAATTTTTTTTTTAAATTTCTTAACAATTCATCCTAAAGAAACCCTATGATCTTTTATCATGGTATCAGACTTGACTTTCCTTTGAAGTCAGTATTCTTTAACACAGAACATGACATTGGAATATGTGACTGTACTTTGTGCTGATGGTTTTAGTTTGTGACTCCGCCAAGAGGACCTAATATAAGACAGAACCTTTGAAAGGTCACTTGCCATTTCTGTTAGGCTTTTAGTAGTAAGATATTTGGTGATTGACACTGCCAGGGTGTTCCAAAACATATTTCCAGCTGTCCAGGACAGGTAGAAATTTAGTTTGGACTTGGAAACCTTTGACATGAGTTGTCTGTTTGACAAGCACATTTTTAATCAGAAAAAATACAGAAACAGTTGATAATTGACTTCAAATTACAGTATAATTAAAATTTGTCTTATAGTCATAAAAACAAACTCCATACTTTACAAAATTGATGAGGTGAAATATTCCTTTTAACTCCACCATTTGACGGCCATTTTATTTGTTTTTACGAGCTCTGTTTGGCTTTGGAACCTGGCCTCAGTAACTAGGCCTGTTGAGACGTAACTCAATTCAAGTTGATAATGTCCAATTGTTTTTGAGTTTCAAGTATCCAGCAAAACGTTTCGGACAAGAACTTGGGTTTCAGACAATCAAATTTAATATAGTGCTTGTCCAAAGGAGAAGTAGATAAGAAAATTTTTCTCTTACTCTACTCTGCTCAGGCCCAGGTTGTTCAAAAGCTGGATAGCGCTATCCACCGGATAAATCACTATCCAGCAGATACGTATTACAGGAAACAATAATTGCATTATCCGCTGGATAGTGATTTATTCGCTGGATGGGGCTATCCAACGTTTGAACAACTGGGGCCAGGTGAATAGTGTCAATAACATGGGGTTGATGATCTATTAGAGTTAGTGACTCAGGACACTGAAAAGTGTCCATATTAACAGGTGTTGATATAATTTGCATGAAGAATGAAATGTATTCACAACACCTACAATTGAAATTAACCTTTTCTCCTGTGATCTTTTATGCAGGGTTTTTTATGCCACACATCTGGAAATGTGCAGTGTCGGATAAAGTTCCCCCAGAGAAAGAACCTGAGGATCAGGTTGAAACAAAACACGTTTTAAGAACTGATATAGTTGGATGTATCAAACTGGAAGGAGACAACACTTCGTTGGCAGCATTGATCCGAGGATATTGTGGACTTGTTTCAGACCAGACCTGCGATACGCAGTATATGTTGAAAGGCAGTTCCAGGGACATAACCAAGACGGAGAAACTACAGATAGAAAATAGTGTATCACTACTACTGCACAGTGCAAAAAATCTTCGCTTGGGAACTATGACTTTATTTCCATATAACAAGCTACAACGACTCTACCATCACTTCAAACAAGACTCTGTCATTTCTGCAGAGATGCGTGAGAAGTATTATTGGAAATTCAAAAGTACGTCATGTTGTATATTGGAGGATAGACCACTTGAAAACTGTGAAATTATGATAGAGAAGGATTTTATGGTACATGAATTTGAGAAGCATCCCTCTCAGAGGGAAGTGTCTGATATGAATGGACTTGTGTCTGTGAGAGACTGTGTTTACAATCAAAAGGGACAACTTGTTTGTATGTTTATTTGTTTTGATACTGTTTACTCAGATAGTTCAAGTGAAGTTTCTTCAAGTAGTTCTTATTGTGATCCTTGGGATTCAGATTGTGATAGCGAAGAGTTTATTGTCTTTGATGGTTCTTGCACAGATACATGTAAGAATGATCATTATGGAAGCCTTGGTTTTGTGTGTGAGGAAGGCGATATGTTCCAAGAAACCTGCACCCCATTACTGCCCTTGAACTCTAATTTGTACTGTGAAGTGTCGTTGATGAAGTCTTTTGACAGTAAACTGGATTCATTTGTCCAGGAAATTTTGCATCCAAATTTCTGTCATAGCTATGATGAGCACATTGTAGACAGGAATAGTCATAAGCATGCACAACATGAAAGCAATAAAGACTTAACGTCTACAGACTCAAGTAGCAAGACTATCCCTAAAAGAAAACTGAAAAAGAAGGTTCATTTTAAGCCAGACAATGAACTTACTACTGTTCATCCAATGTTTGTCTGGAACTTTGCTTACAAACAAGCACGCAAAGGAACGTGGGAGGCTGATGCCTTAGACAGGCTCCGTTTTCAGAAGCGTGTTAAGGAACTTGATCAAATTTTAACTCCTGTTTTGCTGGCAAAATGGAAGAAGGCTGTTGAACCTTGAGTATGATTTTAGAAAATAATAAATATAATAGCATTTATTAGGTAGGTTTTACTCTATTAATTGAGGAATTTTTAAAGTTATGTATCAGCTACATCTCTGTGAGATGAGAAAGCCATTGAGTGAATTTTCCACAATTACCGTACTTGGTCAGGCACCATTGTTTTGCAGATATTATTGTGCCGGTGGTCTGTTCATGTGCAATGTTCAATGAACTTAAGTCTGGTTCCTTTTGCCCTCATTGAAGAGTGATAATGATAATAATAGAAATAGAAGGCTGTGCTCTAAGAAAAATTGAAGGGAGCCTAGCACACTGAACCTGTAAAATCTAGGGTACCCAGCATATGATCTCTGACAAAACTAAGATTTTTTCCTAGATTTTCTAGATGCACAGGAGCAAAAGTTAGGCACCAGGGGCCACTGGTGCTGCTAGAGCACAGCCCTCTATTATAATTTGGCAATAAGCGGTAAATTAATAATGCATAAGGTCAGAAAAAAACTAAAATGCTCTTGTGGTGTTATCTTCCTTTTGTTTTGTATGAAGTAAAGTAGCCAGGGTCGTGCGAACAGAAGCCACGGAAAATCCCTGGAGCCAGACCGTTAGTGAAAAGCTGTGTAAGAATAATAATTTTATTGTATATTTAAAAGTGATGACCTTGACTCAGGGTTTTTTCATAGCATGCAATGTGGTGAGTTACACTTAAGTGGTTTGTAAAGTGTCTGGACTTAATGTTTTGCTCATAGCCTTGTGTGGTAAACAGACTACAGTAGTGACACAGTCTTATCAATTTCAAAATGAATACATATTTTTCTAAGAAAATAATTCACTCACATTCCTAGTCATGTTTTTTGGCATTTGACATTCGTAATAAGTGGTTGGTGCTGAAATTTTGGTTAATTTATTAATTTCATAATGATATTATAGATGTGGCCAATAGCAACAGCTAGTCATGCATTCCTTAATAAATCTGCTTCAACTAAAGCAAAAATTATTGTCTCTGTTACTTAATTAGTAAATATTATTTGTCAAGTCTCAGATAGCATGGACTTCATTCATGTATAGCAACTATTTTTTTTTCTTTATTTGTGTGAAAAATTGTACCACCATCTGGTACAATTGCTAATAATTTAGTTTCACACAATAAATACTAGATATGTCTGGAAGGTTTGCATTACAAGTTGCCTTTAGCTGCTTACATTGTATGAGAGAGTTGCATGCAGCGTGGTAGCCTGTTCCAGGCTCCGAGTGAGATAGTCGCGTCAGCTGAATTGAGAAAGTGTGAACTTGAAACAAAAGTGGGAGGAAACTGGGGAGAGCAAGGATGGCGACCTCTCACGCCCTAACCATGAAACAAGCGGCAAAAAATTACATTTGCTCCGTCAAAACGTAGACCCCTCCAGAGCATAATCTACCTGTAAGAGAAAAAATTAATTGGAACAAGCAGCATTTTGGCACGAGGTAAAAGTTGTGTGTTGCCTACTCACCCCCTTTTTGCACTCCAAATTGCTCACGCTTGCATAAAGGATTAACACTGGGTGAAATACTCTCGTGAGAAATTTGAGAAAGATTCCAACTCGTCGACATTTCGACAGTTTGACAACTGAAATCTAATTATCTCAAACGTGCCAAAAGTGGGTGGAAGAGGGTGGTAAAAGAAATGATTACAGGCTCTCCCTTCCTTTTCCCTTTTCCCCGCCCCGCCAACTTTTTGCATGCCTTTTACTTTCACGTCTTCCCCACTATCTGAGAGCCTGGAACAGGCTAGCTCCATGGGAACCTTTTAGGAGCAGATCTTTAAATTTTTCATTACAGGGGTTGAAACTTGTGCATACAGCTTAAACGTGTTAGTACAGCCAACAATTTCCTTTATGTGACTGATGCTTTGCTCTCTTAAATGTTAGTACCCTTGTTATTCGTTTTTGCAGGACCTGCTGTTTTAAAGCAGTTGGTTAATATTAAAAAAAAAAACAACTAGTCTAAGGGCTGTACTAAGGTTGGGCAAACCCTGCATAATGAATAATGATTATGGTACATAATAACAAAAAAATAATAAAAAATGAATTTCTTTTTAGGAGCATGACATACTCTTGATACCCTCATCACCCCTCACCAATTTCTTCATGTAAATAATATTTTTGTGTGTGTGTTAAATGAAATGAAAGGTTCATGATATGATACAGCAATGTTTCGTTCTGAAAAAAAAATTCCTCACTTCTTGTTGCATGTTATTACTATTATATTAGCAACACTTTCAGGGGCCTGGTAATGAGCTCCTGACTCTACATGTATTGTCATTATCATCTCCATGCTCAAGGGACTGATAATAGACAGGAAACAATTAAGTGAAAAAAGCGGTACGGTGTCCTTTATTTGGGGACCCTTTAGACAACTCATCCTGCCTGAAAAATGATCCTTATGTAATATCTTCCAGTTTAAAAGTGACAAAATAGCAGATTCGCTTTCGGTAATTTGAGCAATCTAAAACACTCAAAAAGAGATCCAATCTGTAGGCGTAGCATACCAACACAATTACCAACACATACCATTCTTTCCACACCTTCCATCCACCTTCCACCCCATCATCTACGTCATCAGTTACCAGTGCCTCGCGCACATTTAGTACTCCGCATTTGGCGCGTACCATAAACAGTTCGAGATGTGACATTTGCTCACGTAATATGGCAGGTCTTTCCGTAGTAAATGTTTTTATAGCACTTTATGCACAACTCTGCTAATTAGACGTTCAATATCCTGAACCAATGATGTTCTTCAAGTGCGGTGGCGAGTTACATTCGGAAAACACGCTCAATATTCTTAATTTGTGCCAAGAGGAGGTCGAGATAGGATGTTGACTGCCGGCATGGGATTTGTGAAAATTCGGACAATCGCAGTTTTGCTCTCGCTATCTCTGAGTTCCTCGCTTGTGTTGTGGTGGATTACACCCGCAGATAATTCCATTAAAGGTAACGAACGCATTTTATAGTTATTTAGGTAGTTATTAGCAGTGATCCGCAGTGTTTTTTATCTTTCATAGTCACATGTTGAGCACGTCCCAACTCGATTTATGTTCGATTTGTTTGATTTGGGATTGAAATGATTGCCCACTGAAAAGCGAACTCGTGTTTTCCATTATTTTAGGAGTAAACACACGCTTGCTTTTATTTCTTATTACTTTCTTTTCAATTTACTTAAATACTCAATAATGAAAAAATTTAATTTTAATAACCTTTCTCCAACACACACCAATTTGTACAGCGTTCAGCCACGCTTGCGTCTTCGAAATATTTTAAGAAAAAGCGTCACCAAAGTCTTTAAAATTTGGAGCTTTTTTGAGTTTCAAGGTTTGGAATTTAATATTTCCTTAAGTCGTTATTGATAATTTGGCAGCTCTCTATACCAACTGATCCTTATCTTCTTTAGCTGTCACCCAAGATGACTTACTTCTAAAATTAAAACTTTCTTATGAGGTTAACAGCTGACATGAGTTTATCCGATACGGCAGCTAATCCCTATAGCCATCTGTACAAGAGCATGATTTAAAACTAATAGGTGGACTTCTTAAAATCATTGCTTTGTTATCCAATTTACACTTAAAGTACTTTCAAGATATTTTAGTGCTGCATAGCTTTTTTAAGGAATATTTTCTTTTTTTAGTTTTCAGTAGGAAGTTATGTGGGGCTTCAAAAAAGCCTTCAGGCAGTGATTTTCCCAATAATATTATTGTGGCTGTCTGGTCATTTCTTTTTGTTAAAGATAACAAGGGTATCATTTCTCTGGATCATATTTATGGTGATAAAAATGCGAAAATTGTTTTAGAATAGGCATGTGATATGATTTGGGGATAATTAAAAGGACTTTCCCAAGTTTAGATTTTATTGAAGAAGATTGTTCAATCGCTCTTTAGGCTAAACTGCGTTAAACATGATGAAAGGCTTTTGAAAAATCCTCTTGGAAGTATTACTGTGTGAAATCCCAGACGTACTTGCAGTTCTGTCTTAAAAATCCTCTCTCTCTCATTCAATATTAGTTTGAAAATTTAAACTTGGTATTCAATATGTCAGTTAATGATAAGATATCAGTGGCACAAAACAGTTCATTAAAAAAGATATATTTGATTATTTGCTGTTATTTATTCTGATGTACCAGCCATCTAGCTTATTAGCAAGATTCGGGATAAAAGATTGTGTTTTTATTTCCTTCAAACTCAATGAAAAATGTTAATTAAAGTTATTATTCACACTAAGCAATAATTGGTCTGGGAAGGTCGTGCATGTCATATCATCTTACTAGAGAGACAAACAGCTATTGTTAGTAAGGGGGTATGTGCATTTCTCCAACATGCAGATAGTTTTATACTTTCTGGTTTATTTGTCACATTCTTTTAAGCTATATATCCTAGAATAAAACAATAGAATAGAATAGAATAATTTTTAAAAAAGTTGTGGTTCATTGTTAGAACAGGTCTGTTCTGTTTTTATAGTGATCCTTTGTTCCATGGAATAGCACCTCTTATAAGGAATTGAAAGAGAGAGTTCAGTTTGTTGTTATTTGCTCTGTAGATTGTGTGTGCACATTAAATGAAGATTATTTTTTCCCTAAGTTAAGTATGAGTAAATAATCAAAAGAAAAATAACAGAGGTGAGTCCCTGCTGTGAGACTTAATAAGCCTTCCTGCTGAGTTATACTTTAGCATACCTTTATGTTTTTTAAAATAGCCCCAGTGATTATTCAACTCAAAGCAAACAAACTGCAAGAAATGTAGTCTGCAGTATGACTTCTTGTTTGTATTATTTGTCTTCTTAAAATTTGATTGAGCAGATAGCAAGGTATGCTCATAATGGTAAAAAAATATATTAAACCTCTATACTTCCTAAGGAGTAGAAGAAAAAATAATGAAGAATGGTTAGATTAAAAATGGGTTTTGACGCTGAGAATCATCAAGCAATTACAACAGCTTTAAATCTGGCTCATCGTCTGCACCCCCAATGCTCAGGTCACATCCTTTTCTTATTTCAAGCTGAATGGGAGTCTTTATCTAACAGTCCACATTCCTGCCACCAGAAAGGTGCAAAGAAACTCAATGGAACTTGGGGTTGTCATTAAGTTCTGAGTCAGTTGTAGCAAAATGTAGAGACACCCGTAACATCTCTGACACAAAAAACTTTAGCTTTCCACTTTGATCAACCCTAACAGGTGCTATGGGTTACAACACTTAATGACAGTTCTGGAACTTTCCAGCTTGTCCTTCAGGAAAGTTGTTTTAAGGGTATACTAACCCAAACAAGACAATTTTGACTAGCCCATATAATTAATAATATGTTGATCAATAATTCACTTCAAAACTAGAATCCAAATTTGCGCACTGGCAAGTCTGTGTTCTTCCCTCATTGGGTAACTGTCGGCTGACAGATGGCGAATGCTCTTTGTGGTAAAACTAGATAGACTGTCAGGCGACTGTTAACCAACAGTTGACCAACAGTCGACTGACTGCTGGCCAACTGTCGGTTGACTGTTGGCTGACAGTTGGCCAATTGTCGGTTGACTGTTGGTCGTCTGTCCGTTTAGGGAAGTTGTTGATTCAGTTTGCAAACAAGGAGAGTCTATTATGCCCTAGTTGTTGCTTGTTATTTTATCAATTTATTTTTTCCTAGGCCAAATAATTTTTATAAAAAGGGGTAATTAATCATGGAAATTGGCTTGCTACATAACGTGAAGGTGAAGTGTGACCTGTTGCGTCGAAAACATTATTTTCCTTGATGCAAGAGGTGAACGCTCCATTTTCTCTTCCTCAATAGTCTGCGGCATACTATATGACATTATAATAAACTTAACTGGAATAACCATATAGATTCCATGGGCAAGAGAGCCGGTAAGAAGTTATACTCTCTTAGGTTATTATTAAGGGCTGAAGTGGTTCAAGATAACATTCTTGAGGTTTATCTTAGTACAGTAAGACCTGTATTAGAATATTCGATCTCTGTGTGGCAGGCTATTCCGGACTATTTATTCCATGTAATCAAGGCAGTGCAAAAAAGAGGGCTTTGAGGATAATTTATCCTGATGCTTAGTCGTACATGGAGGCCTTGCAAATAGCAAAGATAGCAAAAATAAAGAAAAGAAGAGATGTCCTTTGTGTTAAGTACATGGATAAGATGAAGTTTAAAGACCGTCCTTTACACTTCTTATTCGCCAAGGCTACTCATTAATCAGCCCAAGTACAATCTAAGGAAGAATGCTGACAGATTAATAATAATAATAATTTACCAATTATTTATATAGCGCGTATTTACATATTCTGATCAATAGCGCTTTACAATTTGTAATTCACAGAGGGAGATCCTTCATTACCCAAAGCTGATGGAAGGCATGTTTTGCTTCAGAAATTTGAAAGTGTCCAGGCAGAAAATGCTGAGTTGAAAAGGCAACTTAAAGTGATTCAGAAGAGATTGCAAGATATATATGAAAGGGACAGTCAAGGTACTTTTTCATGTGTGAAAAATATGTTATTTCCACTCTTCTGTTTATGATTTAAAAATACGTTTTTCTTTTTCCTTTTTTTTTATAGTTGCAAATGAGAACAAGACTACATCATGTTTAACTGACTTAAGACCATACCGTTGTGAGGTAGGAATTTTTTTCATACGTGATATTTTGTAGAGAACAAATCCAGTAAATCTTATCTTAGTCAAGCATGAAGTTTTTTTCAGGTTATGGCAGTTTTTACTGTAACTGCAAGGATCACATCAACGTTCATATCGTCATCAGCAAAATGATGGATAATATGTAATCTAAGTCAAATCTTAGATATCCTAAAAGTTGCTCTCAATATTTTTTGGCCTTAAATGTTTTACCATATTTGTCTTCGTTTGTTTTGGGTTTATATTTTATTATTTAAATCCAAGCTTAAGTCAGCCAAAGAGAACAACTCATAGTGTGGTATGTTTATGTAGTAATCAATTTTTTGCATTATCTTGAAAAGAATATATTTCTAAAATACTCTTGTTTATAATTTTCTGTTTTTTCACTAAAAATTTATCTGCATGGGTAGTTTTGTAATCTGAAACATGTAAACATTTGTTATCAGGTGACAATTTTCGGGTGAGAAATTGGCCACTCACTATATTGCCTATTAATTAGTTAACTTCTACTTTTCAGCGGTTGTTGAGTAAAAAAGGTAGCACAAAAAATGACTGTAGCTTTGCAAAGGAAGTAAAACATACACACTTTTTGGTGGCTATTCTTAAGGCTGGTTTTCACTAGTGACAAAGCTGGAGTCAGAATTGAAAATGGCGTCATAAGAGCAATTATGACCTTGTGAAAATAAAAAGTCAGAGTTGTAAGCAGAGTCATAAAAGTGATGGAATTGGAGCCAGAAGAATCGAAATGTTTCCATTTATTGACTCTGCTTATGACTGTGTCATTTACGATCTAGTGAAAACCGGATTGTCGGAGTCAGAAATAGAAGCGGAAGGATTAACCAATCACGGAGTTCATTTCCACGCTTTGTGATTGGTTTAGTTCTTCCAATTCTCCTTGTGACTCTGGAAACCTCGATTGTAAGGGACAGATTACAACTCTGATTCCGACTCCATCGCTAGTGAAAACCAGCTTTTAAAGTCAAACATCATACCTCACACCTATGGAACCTAATACTAATGAGCAAGGATAATAGATTTTCAATATTAACATTGAATATTTTAGTTTGGCACATGTATGTGATGTTCGATGCTTTGCAGGTTATTCATATCGCAGTGGTTTGTGCTGGTCACAGTGCAAGCCGGCAAGTTGTCACACTGATAAAGTCTATTCTGTTTCATCGCCGTAATCCTCTGCACTTCCACTTCATCTCAGATGCCATTGCAGAGAAGATTTTAACTGTCCTCTTTAAAACGTGGGAAATAACAGCAGGCAAGGACATTTTGGAAAAGTATATTATGTACTGTAAGAACTTAAAATGGTGTTCACGGTACATGTTTAGATTGCTGAGAGAAGGGAAGTTGGGTGATTGAAGGGAGCACTTATTTTGTTGTTTTGATTTCATTCCCAGAAAGGCAGAAAAGTTTTTGTTTATAAACCCTTGATGACGCAGTAATATTATTGTTATTCTTAAGCACCAGAGAGGATTGAAGTTGCAACTGTTAATACAAACTGGAGTACATGCTGAAAACTGGTTGTTAATTAAGTATATTGCAGAAATGAAAATAATAGTAGTTTCTTCAGTTTGCCTTTTGTTCATACTCATTTGTATTCATTGTTCTGGGTTGACCCAGTGTCCTTTTTCTTTACAGTTGACACTAGTTTTTACAGCACAGAAAAGTTAAAGGTATAATTTAAATTATTTATAGCAGTATTGTTTAATAGAACTAAAACTTGCTTAAATCTAAAAACATGCCAATTTGAAAGGTCCAGCCACTTATTTTGCAGTCATTGTCATTCTGACATTGTGATGAGCATTAAATTGTGTGCTAAATTCAAGGGAGCAAGTATGAATTACAAAATCCATTTATACTGTTAGGTTTGAAAAACCACTCAGCAACTATCCAGAAAGATTGTACTGATCATTATTTGGATCTTTCAACTTACAGGAGAAAGTGTCTTGGATACCAAATAAACACTACTCTGGAATTTTTGGGTTAATGAAGTTGGTTCTCACTGAAGCAATTCCACAATCCTTGGACAAGGCAAGTTTTTGCATGTGGATGACAAAAAAAAAAATCAATAATGATGCTTTAATGTTACTTTTAAAACATTTACCTAGTTATATAAAGAAAAAATATTGTCTTACCAGGTTGAGGTGATTTCTTGCGCACTCAACTGTATGGTTGAAATCTAGTGCCATAATTTTATGGATGTATAGCTTGTAAAAATATTTAAAGCTTGTTTTATTTGTTTTTCCTGCAGTCCCAACACTTGCAGGTGGTTTTTGTTTCCAAATATTAAATTTTCTTGGAACGAATTTGTATTGTGTTAATCACAGCACCATTTTTGATTTACTCTTGGTTTAAACTTAACTTTACAGGTAGTTGTTCTTGATACTGATGTTATTTTTGCATCTGATATTGCTGAATTGTGGAGGATTTTTGATCAGCTCACGGGTAAAAAGGTCAGCACTGATTTCTTGTTCAAAGTCAGTGGTTTCGTAGTCAAGTATTTTGAAGTATTCATTTCTTTGTATGTTTCTATGCAGTACAGAAAAAAGCTTGTTTACTACATTACAGGAGGAGGGTGTTATCGGCCTCAGCAGATAATTCCCTCATCTATGTCCATTCAGATCATGCTCAGCCTCATTGAATTATTGTTAATTATCATCTCATCATCTGTTAATCCTTCTTGTTTTTGTGCAGGCAATTGGTCTGGTTGAGAATCAAAGTGACTGGTACCTTGGAAAACTGTGGAGAAACCATAAACCTTGGCCTGCACTGGTGAGTTCTCACAAAACAGATCTTGTAGTGTAAAATGAAATTCAGTTGGTTTCATCCTAGTTGGATTCTTATCCCTGAAATGTAAAATCATATGATGTGAAACAGCATGTTCTTTTATTTAAAAAAAAAGCCAAAAATGAACAAAACAAACAAATAAAATACAAGACTTCATACTGAAAAAAAGTGTGAGTTTTAGCACAAAAATTAATTACTAATTGATGACATGCCGGAGACGGGACTGCCATTTTATGTGGTCATCTGTACCATGCAAAGCTGTGGCAATTTTCAGGGCAAAGGCAGTACCTTCATCTTTCAGTTTAATATTCTTAAGACTCTGAGTTTTGGTCTGGCCATGGGTATGGGACATGTGATGTCGGCCTCTACAATCATGTGCTCTACTGTCTGAGATAGTCCTGCCACAGTTAAACAGTCTCAGTTTAAGTCTTAGATTCATGAGTAGATAAAAATAAGGCCTATAAGTGCTTTGTAATAATTATTGTGATGGAGGACTCAATTTGTACAGGTGTTGTAATGTTATGAGTTAAGATCTGCTTGTGCTTTAGGGCCGAGGGTTCAACACTGGTGTTATTCTACTGGACCTTTTAAAGTTGCGGCAGACTAAGTGGGCTAGCCTGTGGAGACTCACAGCTGAGAAAGAACTCATGAACATGCTGTCCACTGCACTGGCTGATCAAGTAAGCTGTTCATCACTTTGTTCCCCTTATACATTGCACAGTTGTTTTACAAAATCCAATTTGTGGATACAAAAACAATCAAGGCATAACAGGTTAACCAGTTTGTAATCTGCTTTTAAAATCTTGTCATCTCAGGTATTTATCCATTGGTTGCCTTTGTACAAACGTCTTCAGTAGGCCATTTGCGTGATAATTTCTTTTTACTACGTAGACCAGAATTTATATTGTTTTCTTTAATATTTTTAAATTTAGTTATCTCAGTGAGGTTTAGATAACAAAAGCCCTAGTTTGCACAAGAAAGCAATACACTGAAGGATTCTGCTGGTGGTAGTAGTGTAGTAGTGGTAGCGGTGGCAGTGGTTGTAGTAGTGGAGGTGGTGGTAGTAGTAGTAGTAGTAGTAGTAGTCGTAGTCGTACTTGTGCTCGCACTCGTACTCATACTCGCATTTGTACCAGTAGCAGCAGCAGCAGCAGCTTCCAAGTTCTACTTTGCAAGCTAAGTTGGAGGTCTTATTGTTCACTTTTAAATAGCATTTACAAAAGTGGAGATGAATTTTTTTTCTATAGGGGACTTATCCCGTGTTTTAAAATCCTGCTTAGTGTACATCCCACATATCGCAATTGTAGCTGAGGATTGGCTTAAGATTGTATCAAGAATCTGGCATGTGTTATTTGGATTAGGTCCATTAATGCAGAAACAGGGCTTTTTCTTTTACGTGTTCTTTCTAATGCAAGGTTAAAGTTTCTCATTGGAGTTAAACGTGTATCCAAATAGTTGTATTTCTGAACAATTTCAATTGCTCATTGCCTATGTTGAAGTTCCTGTCAGCGGATTTCCTTGGGTGCTTTTGGAATATCATAATTTTTGTTTTCTTCTGATTAATTTTTAATTCCTTGTATCACAATAAGAATGAAACGTGTTGAAACAGTTTTCCAATCCCGTTTTGGATCTTGATAGGATAGTCAAATCACCCGCATATAATAATGAATTTATTTTTGTTTCATTTGGAAAAACAAATGGGTCAGACAATTACAGTTAATTGAAAGAGTTTCACCAAACATAGCACTCTTAAATAGACTTGCCGGCTTTCTAGACACAAAGATACTTCTGAGGATGTACAAACAAACAATCCTCCCAGTGATTGATTATGGAGGCATCATATGGCCTGAATGTAACAGTTCCCGATCAGATAAACTGGAGTGACTTCAAAACCAAGCCATGAGGGTTATTCTGAGGGTCAACAGAGCCACCTGCACACAATGTAGGAGGAACACTGTAGAGCTGTAAACACTACAATAGGAGACGATTCCTCAGATTTGTTTTTATTCTTAAGATTGTAAACAACCAAAACTGCCCTAAGCAACTAGAGGGTTACCTAACCAGTAGGGCTGAGCTCCAAAACAGAACTCTGCAGAACCAAGGCACTCTTGAGCTACCACAATCTAAGACTTCTTCAGGAAGAACTTAGAAAACCAAGTAGTATAGGCTCTTTTAAATTTAATCTTTTTAAACAACTGAGAGACAGTGACATTAGTAATCATAAATGTACAGTGTAACTAGTTGGATTTTTTTTAGTGTTTTTAATAGTTTTTAGTGGTTCGTAATATTTTTAATTAGTTTTTAGTAGTTCTTAAATTAACAGCTTTTAGCAGTAGGAGGATGCCATTGTGCGAATGGCCTATTGAACCAACTTTTTCTTAGAACTTACAGTAATTATAATGATGGTAATTTTAAGGTGACGCAATTCACCTTTATTAACAAGAGCTTTCCTGTTCAATACAGGATAATGGTATATTTTGTATCCTTGAAATTTTTTTTGTTATATTTTGTAAATATACTCAAAAGAATACTACATATTTTTAGGACATATTTAATGCAGTGATAAAGAGTCATCCACATTTGGTATTCAAACTACCATGTACATGGAACGTACAACTTGGGGACAACACACGTAGTGCAGTATGTATAGACCTTTCTAGTTTTCTAGTTTGCCCTTTGGCATCTGAACTGCTGTTTATCCTTTCTTTCCTTCAGAAGAGCTCTGTGCAAGAACATCTTGTGATATTTCCTTAATTTTTTATGTAAAAATGTTTATGTACCCCATTTCTTTATTTAAATTAAGTGATATCTTTTTTCCTGCTTGTAGACATGTTACAAGGATGTTTCTGAACTGAAGGTAAAACATGTATCAGTAATGCTTAAGTTATTTGCTTTGATTTTAAATGTACTTCATTGCAGTGGTTTCTACTGCTTTTATTTCTGTTGTGTCTCACAGTCTGGTATGTCAACAGAAATGAAGTTTTGAAGTCAAATTTAACATGCCTTATTCTAGAAAATTAACACTCAAAGGCAATAAAGACAATAGTGAGCAATAGTTTATTTAATTTTGATTAAATACAGAGTTTATTTCTTCAGCAAACTCATCAACAATAGACGAGGAGGTCAGAAGGTGGCTTAAATGCAAAAACTGCTTAATTCCACCTGGAATCACACCAACTTAATCCCTGTAAAGTCTTCAAACCCTTTCAACTTACACCTTAGCTTCCTCTGCAGAGTGTCAGCCACTACAATCAACACCACTGGCCAGTATTCTTTCAACTTTAACTTTGCCTCAGTTCCATTCACTCACATCTACTTATTCATGTTATTTGATTTGCTGCCCTTTGATGTTTTTAATTAAATTTTACTCTCGCTCTTAGGTTATCCACTGGAACTCACCCAAAAAGCTGTTGGTAAAGAACAAACATGGAGAGTTCTTTAGAAACCTTTACCTCACATTCTTGGAATATGATGGTAACTTCTTGAGGTAATAACAATGCACTGAAAATGTTATTGCTAGCAAAGCATACTGAGCATAATGTTATAAATAAGGCATCAGTGATGGTGGAACAATGAAACAGTGGAACAGTGATGGTGGAAAAGTGGACCATCACTGTTCAACTACTCCACTTTTCCACCATCACTATTCCACTATTCCACCATTCCACCATATCTGTTCCACTCATCCACCATCACAGTTCCACTCTTCCACCATCTTTGTTCCACTGTTCCCCCATCACTGTTCCACTGTTCCACCACCTCTGTTCCATTGTTCCACCATCATTCTTGTACTATTCCACCATCACTATTCCGCTGTTCCACCATCATTGTTCCACTGGTCCACCATCTCTGTTCCACTGTTCCACCATATCTGTCCCACTGTTCCACCACATCTGTCCCACTGTTCCACCACATCTGTTCCACTGTTCCACTATATCTGTTCCACTGTTCCACCATCATTGATCCACTGTTCCACAATCTCTTTTCCACTGTTCCACCCTAACTGTTTCTCTGTTCCACCATAACTGTTCCACAACTGTTCCACTGTTCCACTACATGTTTTCCACTGTTCCACCATCATTGTTCCACTGTTCCACCGTCTCTTTTCCACTGTTCCACCATAACTGTTCCACTCTTCCACCATGATTGTTCCACTGTTCAACCATAACTGTTCCACTGTTCCACCATAATTATTCCTCTGTTCCACCATAACTGTTCCTTTCTTCCACCATCATTGTTCCACTGTTCCACCATCTCTTTTCCACTGTTCCACCATCTCTTTTCCACTGTTCCACCATAACTGTTCCTCTGTTCCATAATCACTGTTGCACTGTTCCACCATCTCTGTTCGACTGTTCCACCATCATTGTTCCACTATTCCACCATATCTGTTCCACTGTTCCACCATATCTGTCCCACTGTTCCACCATATCTGTTCCACTGTTCCACCATAATTTTTCCACTGGCCCACCATCTCTGTTCCACTGTTCCACTATATCTGTTACACTGTTACACCATCATTGTTCCACTGTTCCACCATCATTGTTCCACTGGTCCACCATGTCTGTTCCACTGTTCCACCATATCTGTTCCACCATCATTGTTCCACTGTTCCACCATATCTGTTCCACTGTTCCACCATAATTATTCCTCTGTTCCTTTGTTCCACCATCATTGTTCCACTGTTCCACCATATCTGTCCCACTGTTCCACCATATCTGTTCCACTGTTCCGCCATAATTTTTCCACTGGCCCACCATCTCTGTTCCACTGTTCCACCATCATTGTTCCACTGTTCCACCATCATTGTTCCACTGGTCCACCATGTCTGTTCCACTGTTCCACCGTATCTGTTCCACCATCATTGTTCCACCTTATCTGTTCCACTGTTCCACCATAATTATTCCTCTGTTCCTTTGTTCCACCATCATTGTTCCACTGTTCCACCATCTCTTTTCCACTGTTCCACCATAACTGTTCCTCTGTTCCATAATCACTGTTGCATTGTTCCACCATCTCTGTTCGACTGTTCCACCATCATTGTTCCATTGTTCCACTATTCCACCATATCTGTTCCACTGTTCCACCATATCTGTCCCACTGTTCCACCATACCTGTCCCACTGTTCCACCATATCTGTTCCACTGTTCCACCATAATTTTTCCACTGGCCCACCATCTCTGTTCCACTGTTCCACTATATCTGTTCCACTGTTCCACCGTAACTGTTCCTCTGTTCCACAATAACTGTTGCACTGTTCCACCATATCTGTTCAACTGTTCCACCATATCTGTTCAACTGTTACACCATCACTGTTCCACTGTTCCACTATATCTGTTCCACTGTTCCACCATCATTGTTCAACTGTTCCACCATCTCTTTTCCACTGTTCCACTGTTCCACTGTTCTACCATTTCTGTTCCACTGTTCTACCTAACTGTTCCTCTGTTCTACCTAACTGTTCCTCTGTTCCACAATCACTGTTGCACTGTTCCATCTTATCTGTTCCACTCTTCCACTGTTCTACTATATCTGTTCCACTGTTCCACCATCATTGTTCCACTGTTCCACCGTCTCTTTTCCAGTGTTCCACCATAACTGTTCCACTGTTCCACCATCTCTGTTCCACTGTTCCACCATAACTGTTCCTCTGTTCCACAATCACTTTTGCACTGTTCCACTGTTTCACCATCACTGTTCCACCATCACTGTTCCACTGTTCCACCACCTCTGTTCCATTGTTCCACCATCATTCTTCTACTGTTCCACTGTTCCACCATCATTGTTCCACTGTTCCACCTTCTCTCTTCCACTGTTCCTCCATAACTGTTCATCTGTTCCACCATCATTGTTCCACTGTTCCGCCATCTCTGTTCCACTGTTCCGCCATCTCTGTTCCTCTGTTCCTCTGTTCCACCATCATTGTTCCACTGTTCGTCCATTTCTGTTCCTCTGTTCCACCATCTTTGTTCCACTGTTCCACCATCTCTTTTCCACTGTTCCACCATAACTGTTCCTCTGTTCCATAATCACTGTTGCACTGTTCTACCATATCTGTTCCACTGTTCCACCATATCTGTTCAACTGTTCAACTGTTCCACCATAATTTTTCCACTGGTCCACCATCTCTGTCCCACAGTTCCACTATATCTGTTCCACTGTTCCACCATCTCTTTTCCACTGTTCCACCATAACTGTTCCTCTGTTCCATCATCATTGTTCCACTGTTGCACCATAACTGTTCGTCTGTTCCACCATCACTGTTTCTCTGTTCCACAATCACTGTTGTGCTGTTCTACCATATCTATTCCACTGTTCCACCATAATTGTTCCTCTGTTCCACTGTTCCTCCGTCTCTGTTCCACTAATCCACTTTCACTGTTCCTCTGGTCCTCCATATCTGTTCCACTGTTCCGCCATCATTGTTCCACTGCTCTACTATCTCTGTTCCACTGTTCCACCATAACTGTTCCTCTGTTCCACTATCACTGTTCCACTGTTCCACCATCATTGTTCCACTGTTCCACCATAACTGTTCCACTGTTCCACCATAACTGTTTCTCTGTTCCATCATCATTGTTCCACTGTTCCACCATAACTGTTGCTCTGTTCCACAATCACTGTTGTACTGTTCTACCATATCTGTTCCACTGTTCCACCATCATTGTTCCACTAGTCCACCATCTCTTTTCCACTGTTCCGCCATAATTGTTCCTCTGTTCCACCATCATTGTTCCACTGGTCCACCATCTCTGTTCCACTCTTCCACCATCTCTGTTCCACTAATCCACTATCACTGTTCCTCTGGTCCACCATATCTGTTCTACTGTTCCACCATCATTGTTCCACTGCTCTACCATCTCTGTTCCACTGTTCCACCATAACTGTTCCACTGTTCCACCATCTCTTTTCCACTGTTCCACCATAACTGTTCCTCTGTTCCATAATCACTGTTGCACTGTTCCACCATCCCTGTTCCACTGTTCCACCATCATTGTTCCACTGGTCCACCATGTCTGTTCCACTGTTCTACCATATCTGTTCCACTGTTCCTCTGTTCCACCATCATTGTTCCACTGGTCCACCATCTCTGTTCCATTGTTCCACCAACTCTGTTCCACTGTTCCTCCATCTCTGTTCCACTAATCCACTTCCACTGTTCCTCTGGTCCTCCATATCTGTTCCACTGTTCCGCCATCATTGTTCCACTGCTCTACTATCTCTGTTCCACTGTTCCACCATAACTGTTCCTCTTTTCCACTATCACTGTTCCACTGTTCCACCATCATTGTTCCACTGTTCCACCATAACTGTTCCTCTGTTCCACCATCACTGTTCCACTGTTCCACCATCTCTTTTCCACTGTTCCACCATAACTGTTCCTCTCTTCCATAATCACTGTTGCACTGTTCCACCATCTCTGTTCCACTGTTCCACCATCATTGTTCCACTGTTCCACCATATCTGTTCCACTGTTCCACTGTTCCACTGTTCCACTGTTCTGCTGTTCCACCATCATTGTTCCACTGGTCCACCATCTCTGTTCCACTGTTCCGCCGTCTCTGTTCCACTAATCCACTTTCACTGTTCCTCTGGTCCTCCATATCTGTTCCACTGTTCTGCCATCATTGTTCAACTGCTCTACTATCTCTGTTTCACTGTTCCACCATAACTGTTCCTCTGTTCCACTATCACTGTTCCACTGTTCCACTGTTCCACTATCATTGTTCCAGTGTTCCACCATAACTGTTCCTCTGTTCCACCTCCACTGTTCCACCATCTCTTTTTACTGTTCCACCATAACTGTTCCTCTGTTCCATAATCACTGTTGCACTTTTCCACCATGTCTGTTCCACTGTTCCACCATCATTGTTCCACTGGTCCACCATATCTGTTCCACCATGATTGTGCCACTGTTCCACCATATCTGTTCCACTGTTCCACCATATCTGTTCAACTGTTCCACCATAATTTTTCCACTGGTCCACCATCTCTGTCCCACAGTTCCGCTATATCTGTTCCACTGTTCCGCCATCTCTTTTCCTCTGTTCCACCATAACTGTTCCTCTGTTCCATCATCATTTTTCCACTGTTCCACCATAACTGTTCCTCTGTTCCACCATCACTGTTTTTCTGTTCCACAATCACTGTTGTACTGTTCTACCATATCTGTTCCACTGTTCCACCATCATTGTTCCACTAGTCCACCATCTCTTTTCCACTGTTCCACCATAATTGTTCCTCTGTTCCACCATCACTATTCCCCTGTTCCACCATCATTGTTACACTGGTCCACCATCTCTGTCCCACTCTTCCACCATCTCTGTTCCACTGTTCCACCATCTCTGTTCCACTGCTCTACCATCTCTGTTCCACTGTTCCACCATAACTGTTCCTCTGTTCCACTATCACTGTTCCACTGTTCCACCATCATTGTTCCACTGTTCCACCATAACTGTTCCTCTGTTCCACCATCACTGTTCCACTGTTCCACCATCTCTTTTCCACTGTTCCACCATAACTGTTCCTCTGTTCCATAATCACTGTTGCACTGTTCCACCATCTCTGTTCCACTGTTCCACCATCATTGTTCCACTGGTCCACCATGTCTGTTCCACTGTTCCTCTGTTGCACCATCATTGTTCCACTGGTCCACCCTATGTGTTCCACTGGTTCTCCATATCTGTTCCACTGTTCCACCATTATTGGTCCACTTGTCCACCATCTCTGTTCCACTGTTCCATTATAATTTTTCCTCTGTTCCACCATCACTGTTCGCTGTTCTACCATCATTGTTCCACTGGTCCTCCATATCTCTTTTCCACTGTTGCACCATAACTGTTCCTCTGTTCCACCATCATTGTTCCACTGTTTTACCATGACTGTTCCACTGTTCCACTGTTCCACCATCTCTTTTCCACTGTTCCACCATAACTGTTCCTCCATTCGACCATCATTGTTCCACTGTTCCACCATCTCTCTTCCTCTGTTGCACCATAATTTTTCCACCGGTCCACCATCTCTGTTCCACTGTTCCACTGTTCCACTGTTCCACTGTTCCTCTATATCGGTTCTAATGTTCCACCATCATTGTTCCACTGTTCCACCATCTCTTTTCCACTGTTGCACCATAACTGTTCCTCTGTTCCATAATCACTGTTGCACTGTTCCACCATCTCTGTTCCACTGTTCCACCATCATTGTTCCACTGGTCCACCATGTCTGTTCCACTGTTCCTCTGTTGCACCATCATTGTTCCACTGGTCCACCCTATGTGTTCCACTGGTTCTCCATATCTGTTCCACTGTTCCACCATTATTGGTCCACTTGTCCACCATCTCTGTTCCACTGTTCCATTATAATTTTTCCTCTGTTCCACCATCACTGTTCGCTGTTCTACCATCATTGTTCCACTGGTCCTCCATATCTCTTTTCCACTGTTGCACCATAACTGTTCCTCTGTTCCACCATCATTGTTCCACTGTTTTACCATGACTGTTCCACTGTTCCACTGTTCCACTGTTCCACTGTTCCACCATCTCTTTTCCACTGTTCCACCATAACTGTTCCTCCATTCGACCATCATTGTTCCACTGTTCCACCATCTCTCTTCCTCTGTTGCACCATAATTTTTCCACCGGTCGACCATCTCTGTTCCACTGTTCCACTGTTCCTCTATATCCGTTCTAATGTTCCACCATCATTGTTCCACTGTTCCACCATCTCTTTTCCACTGTTGCACCATAACTGTTCCTCTGTTGCACAATCACTGTTGCACTTTTCCATCATATCTGTTCCACTGTTCCACCATTATTGTTCCACTGGTCCACCATCTCTGTTGTCCTCTTCCACCATAACTGTTTCTCTGTTCCACAATCACTCTTCCATATCAGTTCCACTGTTTTTCCATCTCTTTTTTTCACTGTTCCACCATCTCTGTTCCTCTGCTCCACCATCACCATTCCACTGTTCCACCATCATTGTTCCACTATGTCTGTTCCACTGTTCACCATCATTGTTCCACTCTTCCTTTATCTTTATTCTACTTTTCCACCATCATTGTTCCACTATCACTGTTCCTTTGTTTCAGCAGAAATGCCTCGCTGTTCTACCATCTCTGTTGTGCTGTTCCACCGTCATTGTTTCTCTGTTGCAGCATTATTGTTTCACTTTTCCACCATCTCTGTTCTACTGTTCCACCATCATTGTTACAATGTTTCACCATATCTTTTCTACTGTTTTACCATTACTGTTCCACTGTGTCACCATCATTGTTGCACTGTTCTTCATCTCAGTTCTACTTTTCCACAATCTCTGTTCCACTGTTCCACCAACTCTGCGAATACAGTGAGGGGTCCATTTTGAAAGTATAAAAAATAACGTTTATTGTTATTGTTAGCTCTAATTTGTATCTGCTTTTGTTATATATTCACTTGATATATTTCAATTCGTAGAAACAAAGGAAACTATATGTAATGATGATGATGATGATCATCATCATCGTCATCATCATCATCATCATTGTGTTTACTACTAATTTGTGACAATATATTTCATCTTTTTAGGCGATGGATATTTCCCTGTAATGACGCTGACAATACTATTAACGAAGCTACACAGGAGGTCCAAACTCAGCAGACTCTTTTTGAAAAGGTATTATATAGTATTAAACTTATTTAGTATTTTTCACAGATTTGTGTTGAATCAGTGAAAAGAGAAATATATATATTGATAAAAGGCAAGGAAAACTGAAGCATTTCACATTTCTGTCAGGGGTGTCTTTCATTGAAGAAAAAGGATTGGAAAATAGAAAGAGTGGCTTTGAGGGAAGATCACTACTGTATAATCCTAACCTTTTTGTGTATTTTTGGTCAGGGAGATTTTATTTTTATTGGAGGAAAGTCGGAGAATTTTTGAAAACTGGTGTCTGTTGCAACCATTACTTGAAGGTTTCCCTTATGACAGTACATTTTTTCCTTTTAATTTTCTTGTTTATTTTTGCATTCAGAGTACAGGTAATACAGATAATGAAGATATTTGCTATGAGTTCAAACAAGAACAGGATTTAATTCACAGGACCCATCTCTACTATATGGATTACGATTTTTCACCAGTAAGTATTCAGTCAGTAACGGAATGTTAAACAAAAAATAAACAATTTTTTTCGTCTGTTATGACTGGGCCATGTTTGTTCATTCAAATAATAAAATTTCTACAAATCTGGGGATTGTTTATCAACAGGTACAAGAAAAAAATATTTTCTAACGTTTGTCTTGTTAGCCCAACCTACTCACCAATAACATGCTTACTAACTAAATGGGTTTAATATTATGGCTTAGTCTATTTCAAGCATGTCCAGTTTCATTAATCCTAAAGCTGCAAATGCCCACAAAAGCCATCATCACGGGGTTCTCGGTAGAATTTTCTATGGTCATTGCTTTGCTACTTACAGGCGTAACACATGGTATGCTCCCCCAGGAAAATTTAGATTTAAGTTTCTCAGAAGTGCTTAGCAGCAGCCATGTTTTTGCACTTGGAAAGACAACACTTACAAGAGGCCTGGGCTCAAATGTACAAATTCAATACTGTAAAATTCTGAAAATGAGCCCAGGGGCTTATATTTTTCAATAGCTCTTTTTGAGGGGCTTATCTATGGAGGGAAATTTGTGTTTCAAAATCGATTCAGGTAGTCTTATAGTTAGAGGTAAATTTACCGTTTTTGCTTTATTTTCTTTGTATTTGAGGACAATTTTCCAAGTGCAAGCCCCTGGGTAGAGCTTATATTTGGAGGGGCGATTTAACAGAGGGTTTTTTGCGTTACTGGTTTGGGGGGCTTATATTTGGAGGGACTGATTTTCGAAATTTTACTGTATGCCTAATAACACAGTGTCATGAAATACACCCTAGTGTGTTTGTGGCAGGCGTTTAGATCTTGTTGGCATCAGTTTGTTAGACATCTCTATGTTTTGTCAGGTTGAAGATCCTTTTGATGTAACCCTTGTGGTACAGCTTTCTATTGACAGACTTCAGATGATTGAAACGCTATGCCTTCACTGGGAAGGTAAGATATTGAAGCTCTGGGTAGCAAGGGTGGCGCAGTAGTGAGAGCACTCACCTCCCATCAGTGTGACCCAGGTTCAAATCCTGGTTCCGATGCCATATGTGGGTTGAGTTTGTCGTTGGTTCTCTCCCTTGCTCCAGAAGGTGTTACTTCAGGTACTCCAGGTTACCCCTCTCCTCAAAAACCAACATTTCTAAATTCCAATTTGACTAGGAATCAGGTAGACAAAGAACCACATCGTGGATGTGCTATCTCTAAATTGTTATTTATTATTTTATTTATTTATTTAATTCCTGTTTCGTGGCCGCGAACTTTAGGAAAACAGAAAGAAATGCTCCACGCCTGTTGTCATTTCGTCATCAACAAACTTTGACTGCTCAGTCATTTTTACAGTAGCTTTCAAGTTTCTGGTGCTAAAAAAAAATCAGTTACTACGTGTATAGTAACTAATAACCAGCCTTCTCCGTAGCTATTCTTTGTGAAACTTGGAACACATAATTATTTCTCGTTGTCTATTCACAGGTCCAATAAGTTTGGCCTTGTATATGTCTGACAGTGAGACACAACTTCTGTTGAGCTATGTGCAGAGCTCTTCAGAGCTAGTCAATAGAAGAAATGTTGGATATCACATTGTTTTCAAGGAAGGAGTAAGTACTTTTTTATTGTCATTGACACTTCTTGTGGTCTTTGAAATCAAAACTACTTGGAAATAGTAAACACAGCAGTGTGAAACTACTTTATAACCGGAGCTGTTTTTTTCCCAGCTGACCAACTTTGTTTTGTCTTACAGCAATTCTATCCTGTGAATTACCTGAGAAATATAGCATTGGAACATGCTCGTACTCCTTTTGTGTTTCTAAGTGACATTGACTTTGTACCAGTGTCAGGAACTTACACCACTTTGAGGTATGTTAAAAAACAATTAAAAAATGTATCATAATAATTTGTTGGGCTGCATGTTAAATAAACTCTGTTATATATCAGTACTAATCTTATGTAATGCCATTTCTTTGTATTTTTTTCTGACAGACAAACCTTAAAAATCTCTTCAAATATGAATAAGAAGGTCGGTATCACTAGCGGTCAACCATTTATTTCTATATTTCCTGAAACAAGGGAATATTATTTATTCAGCCTTCCTCATAATTCTGATCAGTAAGGTTAATATTTCACCATTGTTGCATTCAAATATGAACTTGACTGAAAAATGGCATTTACTTCTAAGTGTCCTACATCTTCTTTTGGGTAACTTTTTGAAGAGGAAAGGTTGATATTAATTCAGTAGATTTCTATCTTCTGCAAATCTTAATAATAAAGTGGACTATGATGGGCCACTAATAGGAAAAAAGAAGAAAAAAGAATTAAGATCTAGTGCTTTAACAAAGCTTGACAAACCTTTTTCCAGTCAGGAATGGCTAAGAATTACCACAGGAAATGGATTTTTCTGGCTAATTTCTGTCATTTCTTTCTTTATCATTTTGTTTCTGTGAGCCTTTGAAAATTTCAGTTTGTAAGGAAACCATACAGATGCCAAACTTTTTTATGTGTATGCACTACTGAAAACTCTGCTCAAATGCTAATGAATTAAGATGAAGCATAAATTGAATGACTTGATTGTTTTCCTTCCTCAAGGCCCTCATTGTTCCTGCCTTTGAGAGTCTTCATTACAAGGTGACATTTCCCAAGACCAAAGCCCAGCTTTTGTCAATGTGGGACCTTGGTACCATGTTTACATTTAGGTAGGTAGATAAATACCCCTCACGGGGTCACACAGTCTTGAAAAGTCCTTAAATTTCTATGCAAGTCCTTGAAAAGTCCTTGAATTTTCTTCAGCTTTAAATGTAGTGGGATGGAAAGTGTTTTTTAATGCTTTTTGGTTGTCAAAGACAGAATATAAAATATAGCTCAGAGAAGTTGATGTTGATTTACATAAAGCATGTTTTGTTTTATGCAATAATTAACAGTCAATTTAAGACAAGTGAACTGAAAAATCTAGAGAGGTTGGTGGAGCAAACAGTTCAAGCCTTAAAGTCCTGTTAGAATTAGAATGGACTGGCAATGTGCATTGTTGTACAATCTGTGATGTTACGTTCCTGGTTAGTTGTCCAAAGTGGATTTGTCAATTCATTTGATCTACCTTGAAAAGTTCTTTAAAAATGGTTGCAGTTTTTTGTATGAACCCTGCCTCAGCCTTGGAGCACAGTACAAATTTCTATAATTCGCAACTAGCCTGTTGCTGTTGATTAAACACTTCTTTGGGCCTCAGAACCCATGACTTGAAGGCTATGGTTATAACCTGAATTTAATCCACCTCCTCCACTCTCTAAGTCACTAGAAAGAAAGGCCTCTGAAAGCACTCATGTTAATGCTGTCCAGTGACGTCACTTATACTCAGAAACCTGGTAGTGGCTCTGGTCTGTTACCATGCCAATATATTAGGTCATATAATTTTCGTACTTGATAGTGACATCACCAGACAGTATTACACGCCTCCCTCCCAGAGTGACTTAGTGAGCAGAGGAGGCGGTTGAAATTCAGGCTGCTGCACAGTACCTCCATCAAGTGTAAAATACTGCAAAATGTTTTGCTTGGGTCTGGGAACTGATTAGTGTTGCAGTTGTCTTTTCCTTATTTTTAATCTCTTTTTTTTTCTTCAGGCATCATGAATGGAGCAAGGGCCACGCACCAACAAATTATGCAAAATGGAGAACTGCTACTACTCGATACACTGTATGTAATGGAAATAAATGATGTGGAATAGGCCCTCTTCAGCTAGCCATTCCTGTGTTACAAAACCGTCATACTGGAGAGCAAGAGACACAATGATGTGAGCTTTCTGATTGCATTGTCCCAGTGGATCCCTTGCTCTCCAACATGGCGGTTTTGTACCACTTGAGTGACACCTAGCTGCCAAGAGCCTATTGACCCTTTACACCCCAGAAGAATAGAGGAGTGATCAGCATGAAATCAATCTTTGAAATATCAGTGGTCATGAGAATTGAGGTAATGATCAGCAAAGATGAATCTTTTTGATACTTCAACAAATTCTCTCCACTACTTCTATTGAAAACATATAGGGAAAGAAAATGAGAATTTGAATTCTGATATTTGGGTTTAAAGGGTTATTGTCCTTTGCAGGTACAATGGGAAGAGGACTTTGAACCTTATGTGGTGGTACAGAGAAATGTCAGCAGATATGACAAACGGTTTGTTGGATTTGGATGGAACAAAGTCTCCCACATCATGGAGTTGCAAGCTCAAGGGTAAAGTTATTTTTTGTTTTTTACATGACAAAACGCTGAACACCATCACTTGATAAAGATTCCAAAATGGAATTGGAAGCTTGTGGTGCTAAAGGTTTTATCATAGATTACCTCTTTTATTTTAAACTTTTAATGACGTTCGTGTTACGTTAAGGGCAATGTTTAAGGCATTTAACTACCTTAAAAAAGGTTTGCAATATGTAAACTACCACTTGCATAGTTAAGTGTAGCATTTGAGTGGCAAGAAATTTTTTCTTATTACTTTTTGTTGATCCATCATTACATAGTATACAGCGAAGGGGATCTTAAAGTACCTACAGCAAGTAAATTCTTGTGCACTTAAGTGAAAATTCTCTTTTTTCAGTTTGTTTCCTGATGTGTTACCTTACCCAACCCCTGCCTCTTTCCTTTCTCAACCCCCTCCTTTTTTGGGGTTCTTTCTCCCACGCTGGGGTGGAAAATTCAGGGGGCACATTTTGACTGTTTGAAAACACACTCACTGATGTTTTTTTTTGTCCATAGGTACGAGTTTGTTGTGTTGCCAAACGTTTTTATTGTTCATGTGCCACACTCGCCTTCTTTTGACATTTTCAAGTTTAGGTCAAGTTCTTTGTACAGAAAGTGAGTGTTTTTATTATTAAGATCGTTAAGCACCTTTTTGGTAAATTGAATTCAACTTATTATTTTGTTGTTTTGTTAATTCTTTTGTACGTTTTTTTCTGTGCAGGTGCTTAAATAAATTGAAACAAGAATTTGTTCAAGATCTGGCGACAAAATATGGTGGAGAAAGATTAGTAGAGATAGACATGGACAGTTAACAACAGTTTCTTGGTTTGTTGTCATCTAAATATTATACTTAATAATTATAATAATAATAATTATTACTATACTCAGTTATTTAAGAGGAAGTGTTATTAGTTTCGTCATACAAGCCACACATTCATGCACTGCCAGTTATAGCCTGCGTCGCAGGTGTTTAATGAGAGCAAGGAAAAAGGAAGAAGGGGGAGGAGGTTTCCTTTTCTTCCCTCCTCCTCCTCCTCCTCCTCCTCCTTCGTTCCTCTTTTTGCTTTCATCCCAACTTTCTTGACAAAGGCTATGCCAGTCACTGCCAGTGAATAGATTAATAAAGCAGGAATGACTCCTTAGTTGACAATAAACCAAGGCCAATAAAGCTTACAGTATGAAATTAGGGAAATTAGGGTTTAGGTGGTTTTTTTTTGTCAGAGAATATTTATTTTAAATTTGTGATAACTAGGCAAAGTATAGCTATATGTGAATTGTATTTTTTACCAAGGCAGCTGTGAATGTTAACCATATTATTATATTCCACCACTGTAACTAAGAAATGCTTTACCATATTCAGTTTTATTTATCCTGCTCTATGAATTATACAGCCAATCAGGAAGCTGAATCTTCTTTCCATATCTGGTCTGTTGTAGCAAGATATAAAAATATTATTGAAACTATATTCAAAAGAGTACTATGTAAATTTCAGTTTACAACGCAGAATGCGATCTTCTAACTCGGACCACACCCACTACATACCTGCGCAATTGGCTTTAGGGTGAAGGAATTATAAGGAGAAGGGTTTTTTTCTAATTATCTTTCTTAATTCACATTCAGTGAGGAAGACTTCATTGTCTGTTATTTCGACAGACTTTTTCTTGAAGAGAAATTGATGCAGGCCTTATAGATATGTTGGTTCCAAAAACCTCTCTCAAATCCATGTAAGGATTCATAAGCCTGTAAAGAAGAAAGTCTGTAATAGGAAACCCAGACCTTCCTTATGAGTACCTTACTGGATGCTTGAGTTAAGAGTAATCTTGACACAGAGGCCTAAGAAACTGAGAGTGCAGGGGCTTGACTTTCTCCAGCCACTTGTATCACTTTAGTGCCTACAGTTAATGATAATCCTGCAACAAACTACCACCGGCAGCATCTCCTTCAAGGGCGTGTAGTCTAACAATGTGTAGGTCCTGTAAATTATTTAATGTTGGTAGCCATGGAGTTATTGAATGCTCGAAATACCGGCTAATGTCAGTGCTGCAAAAGGTTCATTGTTGCATTGTATTATGTTGGAAGTGGTACAGAGAGAATCCTAGCAGAATACAGTTGCTCATACAGTAGAACTTCATCTGAGTTTAGTTTACTATCTCGAGCATTATTCAGATTTTTTATATAAATATTCACAGAACGTTTCTCCTCGTGCTTGGAAGTTTAGTTCGCAGGTTTCTCATGCACTGGTAGTGACGATAATTGATTAATTTGAATAATGTATACATGTATAATTTTTCATTTTTGATATTATTATTTATTTAAAACAACTTTGGAGATAATCAAAAAAAGTTGTCTTATTTTTATAACTGATTTTTGAGACAATGTTAGTAATATTTTAATTTGTTGAATCAATTGCTTGTAAGATATTGCGAGTAAAAACAATCAGTGAATCACAATAATGTACAAAAGTTTGATTTAAATTATTATGAAACTTTATACAGTTACCCTCCTTATTTATTAAAAATTGTACAATCTATTGCTGGTATTGTTCTTTTTAGTTTTTTTTTTTACGTTAATCCTGTGAAGCTTCAGTTACAACTATCAGATTGCTTGAGGATTTTATTTTCTTATGCAAATTATGGTTATTACTGTACTTAAGGACATGCGAAACGCTTTCTATTCTGGTTCTCCCCATATGAGGGAATCTGGATTCCAGAATCCGGGAAAGTTTCGCTTGTGGAATCCGGAATCCGAGAAAATCTAGAATCCTGGGCTTTGGAATCTGGAATACAGTTCAAGGAATCCGGAATCCGAAGTCCATGTTCCACGACAAAGAATCTGGGATCCGGAATCCACAATCCAAGAATGTCTTCAATTCCCTTACATTGGACAATGTGGTAGTCGTAGTGTAATGAAGTTTCTGAGTGAGTCAGTGACGTCCGTTTGGATCATCAGTCTTGAATATAGTGCATAACCAGCTTGTACTATTGATCATGAGTAGGCAAGCTTGATTTGTTGAAGGAGAAGTCGTCATCATTATCATCAAGACGGTGACAAGACTGTTGTTGGGTGTAAACTGGGAGAAGAGGTGTTGGTTTAAGCTTCAGCTATTTATACCCTGGTGGCTCAAAGATGATAATCTTCATTTTTGCCAGCCTCGTTCTCAATCGTCCTCGACGATTCCTGATGTGACGTCACACGTCAAACTCAATCGGATGAGGCGATTTGGCCTGGGGACGAGGTTGTGTTTTTGCTGTTTTGCTGTCATACTTGGCAGTTGAACTAAGACAAGTAGTATTGATTATTTGAGCCGCCGACCATCAGTTTTCGAGAAAAGCAAAACCGTAAGTCCTGTTGTTGTCAGTTCAGATCAAAAAATGATTCTTTAGAGTGACATTCATTAGCTTGACCATGTTCACAAAATTATGTTAGATGATGCAGACCTTGCAGCTCGCATAATTATTGGCGTAGTTGTAGAAATATACGAGCACTGCGAGTACTATATTATGCTACTTTTTCGAGCACAATCTATCTAAGCCAAAATGCGGTGGAAGCCCGGGGGGTACTACCATATATGGGCTACATAGGTAAGTGCCGCAGTGAAGGATATGGTTTTGAAACAGTTTACTCTGGGATAGGGTATATAAATCAGAGAGTTTGGGTCTAGAAGAGGGTATCATTTTCCGTTTAAACTGATCAATTGGCTGAAGATTTTAGTCTAGACTAGGGAAACCGGGAATTGCCACTCAAGAATATAAAAAAATCAAATCGGTTTTGTTTTGGCTGGACTGTGCTAGTGACCTCAGTTGTTTCTGGAAAACAGCTACTCTAGGATAGGGGGGATTTGGGGAGTTTAGTCTAGTATAGGGTAGCAAAATTCACTTGAACTATCTCTGGAATAGGCTAAGGGTTCCAGGGTCCCAGCGGCACATCCCCACCCAAAAAGTCCTAAAGTACCCCCTGGGGGGGAACCCAGTCCCCAGGCCTCTCCCCTTAATGGCGGTAGGAAATCCAAGGTTCAGTGCTCGGTCCTATCGTGGTTTATCCCAGCCCCGAAAAAAGGGACTGAACTAATGATATATGGGTGTAAGAAAAAGGTCCTGCAATGTCCTGCAAAACTTCAGAGAGAGTTGAGCAAGAGAAATGGTCACGTGTTAAAGTCACGCGCGGTGGTCAAATTTTCGCGCGTCTTCTTCGTTTTACAGAAACAACCAAGGTCAACCAAGTCAGGTAACACCAAAACGTGAGTATTAAAAGTCTTGTATATTTCAACATTATATCTCTTCCCCTTCCCTTAAAATGTGAAGCCAATTTTCATACTTATCATTGAGGAAGAACTGCTTATTTTTTTCACGGGTAAATTGTTGAAAAATTGGTCGAAAAATGAAAGCAATCTGCCTTTTTAGTAGGTCTCTGAATGACAAAGTCGACTAGCAAAAAAAGATCGTTTTTTCCACAAACACGAGAAAAATGATCAAATCCGACTTTTTTCGCCGAGCCTAAGTCTATAGAGTCAAGAGACAAACAACTTTAGACGCTGAAAATGTAAAATCGATCACGCCATTTGCCAAATTTGAAGGCTTACTGTAGAACCTTTGTGAAATGTGTTAGAGACCCAAAACGACAGCCCAAAACAGTTTTAACAACCAAATTTTATTTTTATTTCTCTTCTTTATGTGTTTAAATCGAAACGACCCGCAGGTTTTATAGGGTAGAATCAAAACATTTAGGTTGGAGCCAACATAAGAGAACCTTGAATATAGCCACAGCGACGCTTTGTCTCAAGGTTATCCTTGGTTTAAATAATTATTTTTCATTTTTTTGCGGTATGGAAATGTTTGATAATCAGCTTTGAACCAAGGATAAAACTGAACCACAACACATGCATGCCTCCTATATTGCGAAGGGCAAAGCGCCCTTCCCCCACCCCCACCATCCCCCAACAGCCTGCAGGCCCGGGTTGTTCAAAGACGGATAGCGCTATCCAACGGATAAATCACTATCCAGTGGATATGTATTAGAGAAACCAATTTATTTTGTAAAATCACAGGCATAATCTATTTACACCACAGTTTTTCAATCACAGACCCTTCACTCATCTGGAAAATAATAATAAAACAAATAGATAACAAAATGCTTGGCTACTTTTACAAATCAAAAGTCTTTATTCATTTATTAAGTTAATTCTCTGATAAAAACGAAGAAAATCTTTGCTCAAAAAAATAACTGAGATTGAAATCCATGATATTAGTATTGTTTTGTTTAAAATAAGAACTATAGCAGATGACAAAAAGTACTGTACTTTGAAGACACTTTTCGGTTGCCTCTTGGCTGATTAACAGAGAATATTTGAAGGTTTTTGTACACATTATATTAGTTTCCTTCCATAAGGTACACATCTATTTTTTAAATATTGGGCACATTTTGTACAAGGACATCTTATTAATAAGTGCTAATAATTTAAAGAGGGCCCTGTACAAAAGAAAGCTACCTATTGAAAAGTCTATAACAAAATCAAGTGCAAACCCCCAAAGCATTAACTTTCATAACAGACACATTAAAAGTGCAGATTAAGTTGAATGCAAGCATTATGCAGGTGCTAAGTTTGGGTTTCTAGAGGAACAAATCTACTGGAGTGTTGTTGTCTTTTTAGGGCAGTTATAAACTGCAAGGAGCTACAAGATAACAAGTGTTACAGGGATGTCGTTACAACAAAGGTAGGGGGTTCATATCCACTTTGAATAAACTGCCTGTATTTGCTGCTGTCCATAATAACTAGTTGCACCGTATAGTTAGCTCTCAATCTTAACCCTTTAAGCTCCAATATCCACATGAAAATTCTCCACACTGATCTCCCTACAGTTCTCAAAGAATAAGTTGGGAGATTTTGTTAAAAGATCAAAGCACTTTCCCTTGAGTGATCATTTTATTAATTCTCATAACCTCTTCTCTTGAGTAAGTATTAATATTGTTGGGAGAAAATTGATGTTAGTCACTCTTGGGACCTAAAGGGTAACACACTGATCTATTTTACCCAAATTAGGCCATTTCCGTGTTGCCCAAGGCCTCTGTTTCAAAGCAAGACCAATTGCGAAGCCATTGATATAAACATGTTTTTTAGTCTCATGCAAATCAAGCTCATTTTCAGAAGAAAGGTTTTGCACTTAACCTAGCTTTGTAAGTGGTCGTTTTTGGAACTCAGAAATGACCTATCAAATTCAACAAATTGAACTCAGGCAACTCAGGGATAGACCTACTAGAATACATTCATCTCAATTATTGACATAATTATTAATAGTGTTTGTAGGAACAGACTTTATTCCTGGTTTGTCCTGTCAGGGCTACAAAGTTCTTGAAAATGAATTAATTGGCTACCTAAACAAGTGCAGCATTTTTACTGCTACTGTCATTTAAGCCTGTCTCCTACACTTCTTTTCAAACTAACAACAAAATGTGAGTAACAAAAGAGTTCAGTTAAACCAAGGTTTTAAATTTGCATTAGATTAAAAGAGTGACTTGCTTACATGGCACAATATTCATCTAAAAAGTCATTGATGAGACTGATAAGAGTCTCTGGCAGATCTAATCAAGAGGTTGTTGGGTTTAAACCCTACGATAAAATTGCTTATGTCTGAAAAATGCCTCATTTTGCAAAAGTGACCATTACAAAAAGATGCAAATTCACTTTCAGGAATTACATTTGTAAGACTGTGATTTCCCCGGCAAAATGTTGAAAACTACATTTCTGGGGACTAAAATTTCAAAATTTTGTCGGGAAGCATGCCTCTAAGGCCTTGTCTTCATATATCCAGATGTTTTTGAAACCCCGTATTTTTTACACAAATTAGCCTTTCCATCCACAGGAAACTAGTGAATCCACTCAACAAAACAGCATCTTTATGAAACCACTCTGTGGAGTGGGGTTGTAAGCCCCATACACACAAATCCACGTTAAAAAAATATGTGGTTTCAAAAATGACTGGATTTGTGTTGACGGGGCCTAAACCAACCAAGATAATTCAACTTCAGCAGTCATTAAAATCCTAGATCTGCCTCAGAGAGTATACATTTTAGTAACGTGTTTCTTGAATTTCCTTCATGCTCTATTTTCTCTTTCTGTAGTAAAGCTCCTTAAGGTGTATGTTGTTCCTGTTGTTGAGTTTCATCATGTTTTTGTTCTTGCTGTCCTAATCCCTCAACATGTTTATTGATTGCCTCAGCTGCCTGCTTGTGAGAAAAAAGTTTTAAAAAGCATGTTTTAATGGTAGTATACTTGCCAGTATTCAAATGTGAAAAAACATGAAAAGAAAGTGCCTATTTTGCCACTAATAAAGAAAATACCCCTTCCCGAGACCCCTCAGTGTCTAATATTATATTGGCTATCAAGCAGAATGAGAACCTCTCATGTCGCTTCTATTCAATTGCCTTTCAAATGATAATTTGCTTTGATGAAACATTACAGAAAGCCACCATGTACATTAATGTTAGATTCAATGCCCTGTAAGGTATACAAGGTATATAACACACTCAGGAAGAGATTAGTCAGTTTTCTTAGCATTATGGGCCACAAAAAAACCTGCTATGGGGTAATAAATTACCAACCTGCACAATGCCACCAGCAAGATTTTTAGCAGTATCTGCTGCATGCTTTTCAGCTTCTCCTCTTTTGGCCTCTTCTTCAGCAAGCTGTTTCTCAAACTCTGCGAGATCCTCATCAGTGTATGGAGGTTCTTCTTCAACACTCTTCCAACCCTCATCCTTTTCAAACTCATCACCATCGCTGGCTCGCAAAAATTCATCAAGAGACACAAAACCATCTTTATCTTTGTCAATCTGAAATACAGCATTACAAAGTTCAGTAGTAATGAAAATCAGCATCTATCTTTCATTTAGTCCAAGTCTGTAGTTATTAAACCAGTCAACAATAGAGATTTCCAGCCCCCAGACTAAAAAAAAAATTGACTAAACACTCCTTGTCTGTAAACAGGGACTTGCAACAACTTCAATCCATTTAACAATAATAATAGTCATCACCGTTATCATAATTACTATTCTCTTTATTACATGGGCTATTGCTTAACATATCAACGAAGCAATTCTTAAATCACTGATTGATTAGTCTTTAATTTGGAAATGTTGGTTTGTAGGGAGAGAAGAAAACTCTAGGAGCCACAACACTCTTACAGCCTTCCAACTCTTTAGTTATTAATCATTGGCTCTTTTGGCCCTTAGGCCACACTTACACTGTAAAACCAAGAATGAACTTTACAACTTAATATGAGGATTGATGCTTCAATAATCAAAGAGAGAAATGATGGATGAGAGAAATAATTCTGAAGATATAGTGTCACAGGAATGTCACTAAGATTTCAAGTTGCCGGGGAAATACAACAAGTAGGTGGGGAATGAAACAGCTAGGGATTCTTTTGGTTCTATTTTTCTTCTATTTTCCAATGAAAGTAGCCGGGGGCCACATTCATACTAGCTGGGGGAAATCCCTGGCCCCCACGTCTTAATGACAGCTCTGTTATGAAGTGCAAAAACAAGGAACCATGAATTATCTAGTGAGCATTCATGGCTCTACAGAAGGAAATTAGCGCATCATCAGGCAAAAGAAAATTACTGCACAACATCTATCACTGATTAAAAAAGAGCTGACAGACAGATAGCAGCCAACACTCCAACTATTAATCACTGGCTCTTTTGGCCCTTACAAACCATCCAGTGATGCAAAACCATCTTGACCTTTTTGATTTAAGTTTGGTTTCTCTGAAAAATGTACTCAATAGCCACTCAAATTTTCACTTACCTCAGTCATCACATGTTCTCTCATTCTTGCGATCTCCTCATCCTTTTCTTTTGGATCATAGTCTTCATCTTTCTCATTGTAAAGTTTATCAACCTGAAGTACAAGCCACATCAAAAAACAAGATTTAGCAAACAAGAATTTTGGTTTTGGCTACTACTAGGGCTGAAATGGTACAATGAACATTGTTTTAAAACAACAAAAAATACTGTCCTTACCTCTTTAATAAACAGAGATTCTAGCTCCGAAGTGTCTAAGAAGTTATCACCATTTGCATCTGCAGAAAAAGAAAGTCATATTCATGAACATTATAATGTCATTTGAATGTATCAGGTTGTTCTTTATGGATCTTCCTTTATTATTTGCACACTTTGCTGGACTTTTAGAGGAGTCATTTCTATTAAACTAGTTCCATAGGAGGATGCAATGTTAATTCAATACTTCTTCAGCCAAATTTACTATTTTTTGTGGGTACCACTTGGACCAATTTCACAGAATCACTCTCTGGACACCCTCTTCAAAGCATGTTTTCCCTGTATACATTTATCTAAAAACCTTGAAGTCTATATTTAGATTCTCTCCTCACCATCTACATTATGTAGACTTGACACAAAACATTCCTACAAATGCTTAATAACTAACAAAATTGCATTTTTTTATACATATGTATCATTCGTTTTTGGGACTACTAATTAAAATGGCAGACTTCACTACAAAAGAATTGGAAAACACCATAGCACATACCATGTAATTTGAAAAATGTTTTTGGATTAAAATCCTTCGCTTCAAGGCCATCGGTTTCTTCCCAAACTTGCTCCAACTGAGCCTTACTTCCCTGCAAGCAAGGGAAAATCATAGAAGTCAATTTATTGAATGTTGAGATGGCCATGCTTGGTGTTCACTTCTAGACCTTCTACTCTCTTATTAAGTGCAGTTAGCTGGACCTTATTCCCAGAGTACCCCTTGGGCAAAAATAACTTGGGCTGGGGTTACTTGGAGTCTTGATCACTTTCAGCTTTGCAGTTACACCCTGATAAATTGGCTAAGGGGAAGGAAAACTTGAATGCAATTTTGTGGTAAATGTCCTTGCCAATAGGTAACAGTAACAAAAACTGCAGTTAAACCTTTCTGGCTATTCTTGCCATTAAGATTAAACCTCCTCATTCAATAAAGTTTAGAAACAGTTATTCTGCTCTTCATGCTGAGACAGCAACAAAGCCATCACATTCAGTCCACCCTTCTTCAAAGCTTGCAGCTTTTCTGTGTATAGAATATATCCTATCCTCTTGTTTTACACACAAGTAAAAGCCCGGTCATATTTGCCAACCAGAAATGTTTTTCTGTCCTTTTTTTCCTGTTGTCCTGTTGCGTAAGCTCACTATTATTTTAAATGTTGTGCAAGAGACAGTAGTTTGATCTAAATTCATATTAGTAACCACAAAGGTATTTCAAATATAAATTTAAAAGATACAGTAAAAAATGGAAAAAAGAATAATCTTACAGGATGATGAAGGTTCTTGGATGCATTATGATGCTTCTCTTGTAATGTTTTATATCTCAACTCTTCTTCTTGGCGTGCCTTTTCATCAAGGTCTTTCAGATGTTCTCGTCTTTTATGTTCCTTCTCCATTTCATGCTTTTTGAACTCATCTCTGCGTTCTTTATCTTGCTTATCCATTTCTTCATGGTGCTGCAATTAGTAACATTAATTTATAATATTGTATATAAAAATATGTTATTCAGCAGGGCCCAGATGTTCAAAAGGTGGATAACACTATCCACTGGATAAATCTCTATCCAGGGGATAACACAATTGATTTCCCTAACACTTATCCGCTGGATAGCGCTAGCGCTATCCAACATTTGAACAACCACAGCCAGACCATTTCAGCCTTCAAAAGCAGGATGGCTTCCTTTCAAATGTTTTATTTGGATATATTTGGAGTCTGGAGATGTACCACTGCCTCTTTGCTGCATTACAGTCTACCTTGAAACCAATTACCCCATCCAAGTCACTTTTTGTGCCACATTTACAGTGTACAAGGTACTCATAAGATAGTGTTGCACTATAGTGATGTAAAGCAAGAGCTCTCCCTGCTTACAAAATCAGATTTGGTGAACTTAGAATGGTGCCTACAAAAAACATCAGTACTATGGCCATCTCCTCCTCACTTGCTTGTGATCGCTTTTCAGAGGGTCATTTAATCCATCACTGAGGAACACTGAGGTGAAAGGAGGCCATTTGTCCTTCCTCTCATCTCTGCTAGTGCTCTGTGTTCCCTTCCATCAACCCCCTTCAATGCTACTCAAAAGCCTATTAGTGGGTTGCAGTTTTTCTTCAAACAAGGGCACATTTAAACAATAGAGAGCTCAAGCAGCAGACGTTTTTAAGGTCACAAACGCTTACCGAAAGTCACTCGCGCCAGTGTGAGTATACTGCACATGTGTTTATGTCCATGAGGTCAGGTTGCAGACCCCAGAACGCCACTTTTGAAGTTCAAGATAGAACGTGAGATTTTAGTACTCAAAAGTTCGCGTTTGGGTGAGAATTATTTGGTAATTTAAGATATTGTGGTTAAATTGTTGGCCTAAAACCAAGGAAAATTCTTCTGCTATTCATTCAGGTTTTTCAGAGATGTAAACATCAGCTAAACAGTCTCTGATTCTAATTTGGACTCAACCGGTTGCATGACCCAGTTAGCTCTAGCTGGCTGCAGAACTGGAAGATGGCAAAATTTACGGGATTTATGTAAGATTTACTCAATTTCTTGTCCATGTGAATCATTATCAAGTGAACACGTATCTTCTCTATCTTCTTGTAACTTTTAACGGCCGTTAATTTTGACTGCATGAATTGTTGTTTTGCTTACAATGAAAAATATTAAAGGCTTAAACGAAAATGTTATGACAGCATATTTTTGTGCATCGGGTTGGTCATATATATCCTGAACAAATTTTCTAGCGAGAGCCCTGTGATATTAGGCGCAATCAACTTTGAAAATGAATAGCAAACTAAATCTCATTTGTGGTTCATGAAACTGCAAATAAAATCGACTGCTAAACTTCACTATCATGTATGGTAATTTTTGTTTGATACACAACACACTGGTTTACACAATCAAATAGTACCCGGTGGCATTTCAAGCTTGGCGAATAAATGTGAAAGATGAAATGTTCACGTGAGAATGGGGCAAATAAAATGTACGAGTCCCCTTCAGCCCTTCAGCGACAAAGATCTTTCTGAAATTCGAAATGCTATGTCATGAGTGAAGACATTTCACAGACAAAACGTCCATAACTCGACAAGACAACAAGACGTCCATAACTCACGTTATGTCAAAAACCAATCATTGCTTAATCTTCGCTTTTCGCGCCACAAACACCATACTCGATCCAGACCAGGCACAACCTTCCTGATGTCTGTGACCTCAAAAACGTTTGCTGCTTAAGCTCTCTAATAACAATGAACAGCTTAGCTGTGGACCTTCTGTTTTACAGTCAACCCAAGTCAAGCAAACCCCCCAAGATTATATTAATGAATTTATTATTCGAAAGTTGAATCTGTTGGTATTTGTAGATTTCAGATTCATGTATACATTCTTGCATGCGTAATGAGCTGTGAATTCACACGCGATTCAGTTACGAAATTTCTACCAGCTAATTTTCCCTGAATTTGATGTAAATGTCTTCTATGAAATTTAACCCATTTAAAGATTTTCAATCTGACCAAATACAGAGAAGTTCTTGTAAAATATTCACTGCTCAGTACGCATGCAGGAATGCCGATTTGAATTTAACACTAGTTACCGGAACGACTAACGGATTCATTTTTCAAATAATCAATTCATTAATAGAATCTTATGGGGTAAGCTTGACCTGCCTTGACTGTAACGCCAATCCCCCCTACAGTAGAAACTTTATATCTCAAACTTGGATAACTCGAATTCCCCACTAACTCAAACTGTTTTTTGTTTCCCTTTAGAGTTTGAGTTACCGGGGTTCTACTGTATTTGTCACAACCCACTGAAATTTTTTTTTCCCTCCTCAAAGAGGCTGACAAAAAATGAGGGATAGGAAAGAAATTTCCTCACTTACCTTGATACGTTTAGTTTTAATGTATTTGCTCAGGCACGGGAATTCTACAGACTTGTGTTTTCTCAAGACCTTTTGTTCGAAAAATTTGCAATAGCTTTCACTAATTTTATTGATCCAGCTTTCTACATAACCGTTTTAATTTTTTTGCTACTTTTAGGTAAGAGTCCTGTTATACAATGTATGTTACCAAAACCTACCTTCCATAAAAGCTTCTTGAAATCTTCAGGTCCAAAGAAGTTGGGATTTTCATCATCAAATAAAGGATTCCAATACTCTCTTTCCTTGAGCCCATTTAAATGATCGTTCATTTGTCGACGAATCATTCGCTGCCTCTCGACTTCCTGTCGTTTCAGTTCATCGAGCTTTGTCCTCACATCGTGCTTCACGAGATCCAAATCATCGGCAACTTGTCCAGTTCTTAATTCCTCCTCAGAGGCGTTTAGTAATTTTTTTACATAGTCATCGTCATTCTCTAAAATTTCAATAACCTGCTTTAGATAACGAGCGTATTCTGGATCGCCCTTTTCTTCACCTTCAGTCTCAGCTTTCACTTTCTTCTCCTTCTTGACAGGGGGAGCAACACAAAGTATGGCCAACCCGATCAAAAAGCAACATACAATCACTGGCTTGCGCCACATTTTATATGTTTCGCCACGGAAAACAAAGAACAGTGGATATTTCTGTTTGCTCCACGGGGATCACTCGATGTAACACAGTTATTTGCCGAAAATTAAATCAAAATCAAGAGGAAAGACCGCTTGTTGGTTTCTGAAACGTGGCACAATAGAAGCACCAGATCTCCTGTCACATGGCACGAATGTGGTCAGCCCCAGTCCTCATGAAAAACTGGCCACAGGCAGCTCAAGCTCTCTTCAGCTTTTTCAACTCTATCTCCTTTATTAACACCATTTACACTAACATTTTTGCTATCTAACAAAAATTAAATATAATGTAACAGAGCCAGAAAACAACTAAAAAATTGCGTGCGTGTTTAAAACTAGACTGTTCACTGGCTTTCGAGATGGTTATCCACGTGCGGCAACAAACAATTTTCCCGTAGAGGTGGAAACATTCACATTACAGCCCTGGAAAGAAAACGAAAAAAAAGCCTTTAGAAAAGAGAGACCGGCTCGCTACCTCGGAGCACTCAGGTCCGTGATGAATGGTGTCTACCCCTGAAAAAGCGTCGATACCCGCGGGACAACCCTCGCAAGGGAATAGAAAAACAAGTTATATGGCGTGACAAATATTTGCCCTGGCTGACCAATCAAATAACATGCTTTCGTTTTATAGGTCAGTGAGTTTACATAAATATTCACGTAGGAATGTAAGTTGTGCTCATTTGTGTTCAGGTAGAACTGCTCGGGTTGTTGTCAGTACATACGTTCATTTTCCTAGCGAACATGTCTGGCTTAAGGAAGGCGAAAAAGTATGACTGGAAAGACAGCAATTTGGCTTTGTTTGGCTCGGATGTCGAGAAAAATGTAAGAACTTCAGATCTGTTCAAGCCCGCGTTGTTTTGTCACAGAGCGATACATGTTTGGGCTTTAAACTAAATTATTTTAGCGATGCACAGAGATCCGAGGCAACTCGAACGGCAGCTAAGCACATCGTACATGTACATGTGATGTTATGTTAATATAAACAAGTTAACTGTTTACTGTCTTCGTAACAGGTGAAAAGAGAAGCTGCTGGAAAAGAAAAAGCTTGGGAAGGAGCTGGTGAAAGTCCTGGTTTGAAAATTTGGCGGATCGTTAAATTCAAGGTAGAGCAACCTCAAAAGCCAAATCTGTTTGATATTTATGGACTTAAATAGACTGTTGATACTAGCACTGATTGGTTTCTTGCTTTTTATCTTTCAAGTGAGATTTTTAAAACCTAACTTAGCTCACAAAGTATTTTTCCTTAAAAAAATGCAAACTTTATGATGCATGCAATATAGGAAAATGTTCTGCTGGAACTTTCCATTTGACGGGCGTGATATGGGTGTGTTCCATATCCATAGTTTCAGCAATGCAGATGAGTGCAGTGGTGAATGACAATGGTCATTTTTAGAATCATGATTTTCGTTTTCGGTATACTATTCTCTCTTCTGGACAATTCTGTGCATCAGCTGGTCACAATACAGATTAAATTGTGGTCCCAGCATTCGACGACCTAAGACATCAATAATATGCATTTTCTTCGTTTCATTAAAATATTATGTGCAGTAGCAAACTGTATTAAAATACCCGGAAACTGGCAATAAATATACAAATATTGGATGCCTTTTTTAATGTAAATATATCTAGTGTTGTGTGGAGATATCAAAAGAAACTTCGACTGGCCAGATAAGACCAACTTATGTCATAATTTAAATTTTTGCTAAACAGCATAACAGTGTCATTGAGCTTATTTAATAGGTAAATAAGTGATTGGAGGCGTGGTTCTGCTTCTAGAACTTTTGGACATATTTTAAGGGTGCAATATCTGTTTTATTGCTATCGATGCAAATAATATTAATTTATTGTCTAAATGACTTGGAGCTAGTCTAGGTTTCCAAATCACTAAAAATGACTGACAGTCCTATCTACCAAGATTTGCATCCATGGGTTGATAATGTGAACTACTGGTTTAGGAATTTAGGGCAAGGAGACAAGGAATGCATTGTTGTACGAAGTACTCGGCAAATACAAAATAAGATTGACCTAAGGGATCGAGGTTTTGTGTGCCCGTGAGACTGGGCAACTCCCCACAAACCTTATAATGTTTTCACTAAAACCGCTGGACACAAAACCTCCCCTGCGTTGGTTTTGTAATAAATTGTCACAACCAAAACTAAAATACTCATGCTCCCATCGTGGAGATAATTTCACTAGGACCCCCCTCCCCCCCACCACCACCACCACTTCCTGGGATTTTCAATTTTCATAAGGAACTGAAGATTCCCCCACCACCACCTCTCTGGACAAAAGCCCCCTAACCCCCTCATTACACCACAAGATGGATTATCACAGTAAGGAGTGGGGCTATTTGCATTTACACTGGTCCCTATTTATAAAGTGATCTCGCAACATATTAGAACATGCTTAACTACCTACAAGGTAAACTTATAGCTAAAAAATATTGCATATCTTTTTTAAATGGAAAAGAGAAAGTTTTATCTGTTAATTTACCTCGATCAGGCAAGCTTAAAACTAAATTAGATTTAGTTCTTTGTTTAAATTCTAACAATGGGTTGCCACCTTGAAGTTTGAGTCAAGAGATTTTCTTTTTTCGACAAGCTAGCACTTTTTTTAGCTCTGTACTCTGTCTACTTTTTAAGGTGACAGATTGGCCCAAAGAAGATTATGGCAAATTCTACAGTGGTGATTCATACATCATCCTCAACACCTACAAGGACAAGGAAAGTGATGAGGTAGAGAAATGTTACAATTTTAAAATAGTTATAATTAAAGTTCTTAAAAACGCATTTTACATATAAATGTCTCGATGCTTTTTACAACTAAAAGAAAGAGCTCTCACGAAACAGATAGGTTTTCAAAGCCCTTTTAAAACTAACAACAAAGTTACTTTGTTTAATGGCAAGCGCCAGCTGATTTCATAACTTCCGAGCAGTTTCTGCAAAAGGTCTATCACTGTAAGTAACTGTACATAGTAGTCTTGGGGATAACTAGGAGATTTGAAACACTAGAACAAATTGTATGACGAGGAGTGTAATGATGTAACAGCTCTTTAATATACACTGGGGCAAGACCATTAAGAGATTTGTACCTAATCAACAGTAACTTAAAAATTATTCTGTCCTTAACAGGAAGTCAAGGGGGAAGCTAAAGATAAGCAGGGAGGAAAAGTTAGAAAGTTAATAGTTTGAACTTGAATCAGCTTTTCTGTTTTGTTTAAACGTGGGCACTGTGCTCAGAGTAAACGGGTGCTGGTACCCAGGTTCCAGCTTCTAGACCCCTGAATATGCAAGGTTCTAACGTACGCACACTGTAACCAATAATTATTTGGTTAAACTTGGAAAATAGCTCAAAACTAAAAGACGCTATAGTTCCATTTGTACCTCTACATAAAACACAAAGCACAGTCAAAGTAAGATGAAAATAAGAAAATCAGCTTGCCCAAAATTAAAGGCAAGTTCTTGATACAGTTTTGTGGCCAACTCTGAGCCTGCCCTTACATGTGCCTTTTTTCTTCTCTATAAATGATATTTTGCAGCTTTTGTATGATGTCCATTTTTGGATTGGAAAAGAGTCAACACAAGACGAGTATGGAACAGCAGCATACAAAACTGTTGAACTGGACACTTTTGTGAGTTTTGTCAATTATTTTTTGTTTTGTTCATCCCTTGAAAAGGATCTGCACCATACAGATTTTTTAAACTTTGCATAATAACTGACAGCCATATATTGCAAACTGAAAAACTGCAATAAAAGGATGGAGTCATCGTGCTTGTTTTTGCCCTGTGTGTCTGTGATTCTTCGTGTTTTTCCCTAGTTTATTCAAAAGGCTAGAGTTGCTCTCGGCAGTGCCTCGAGAAACTCTTATGCCTGTTTTGTGCTCTCCAAAAATCCCTGGGGTTTCCAGCTAAATTAAAAAAATCCTGGACCAAACAATAATCCCATCCCCAAACTCTATCAGTGGAAAGCATTATTAATACTTAATTATTAACCACAAAACAGGTCTGGCTGTACTTTATCAGGCAGAAATATTCAGCCAGTATACTCGCATAGTACTGCATCAATTATCAGATTGTGTTGAATACCCCCCAAAATCCCTGCTTAAATCAAGGCACCCGTGAAAAGACTTGCTAAATTTTTTGCCCCAAAAAATCCCAGAAGTAGAATGAAAAATTTAAAACTCCTCTGGCACATATGTTTGCCTCACCAGACAGGAATGGTCCCTTACCTGCTGAGCTAAAATTTAAGGAGAGCACTGTAAACTCTAGAGTACCCCGCCCTTCCCAAGGCTAAAGGCTAGGGCTGCTGTTTAGTTCCTCACCTACCAATTGCATGTACACAGCAACTGGAAATGTTAGTGACAGTCCTGATTTTGATTTCAGGTTTAAAATAATTAAATAATAACTCAGTCATGCATGTCTCTTTCCTGTGTAGTTGAATGATAAGCCTATTCAGCATCGTGAAGTCATGAAATATGAAAGCGACCTGTTTAAATCTTACTTCAAAGTTTTGGAAACTATGGATGGAGGGTACGTTAATAATTATCAAGTTTTGAATAATTTTTAGTGATATTTTCCCGGGCTTTGTTGTCTTGGTTTCTTTTAAGTTACCATATAACCCTGTATTGTTGATGAATTGCAGGTGATGGTATTACAAACAAGATATATTTTGACAACAGCTTTTTTCTTTCTTGTGTTAATCAAAGCATGTTTGAATTTGACACATCATCCATAAAGCCATAAAGATTAAGGTCAAAAAAGAGAAGAACATTTTTTAGCTCAAAACTCAAAAACTATAATTGCACCTGCATGTACAGTAGTAGCTTCTTCATGCCCTCAATTTGAAGAACCCTAGACACCATGTTGACAGTTAGGCAATGTAAAGTTGACCAGTTAGAAAATTCCAATGAAAATCTTGTTCAAGGTCCCACCCGTGCTTCCTTCAAGATACCTTTACAATCCCCTGGAACTTCAGGGAAACGTCTCATGCTGAAATGCAGATGAGTAATTTTCCAGCAATATTAAAAGGAAAAAACGGGAGAAGAAAGGCAAAAGAAGAGGGGAGGAGAGAAAGCAAATCGTTTTGGGATTTTTTTTGGCCAGATGTACTGACAAGAAAAAGCGAGTACATGTAGTCTCAGAATGGAGTTCCTTTTGTCTTTTTTTTTTTAGGGCTGACACTGGCTTTAGAAGAGTTGGGCCGAAGGAGTACAAGCCACGTTTATTGCAGTTTAATGATGAGGTACATGTGAATGTCTTGAATTTTTGTGTTTGATGAATTCTGATCAACATTGAGCAGTTTCATTATTACAATAAGAACTAATTTTTTGGAGCAAGGTCAGTTGCATTTTTATTATCTAAGCCTTTTACATTAGCTCAGTGCTGTACATTAATTTTGGCTTACAAAGTCTTAAAAACCTGTTAAATTTCAGCCACCCTCTTAAAAAAGTCTTTTAATCATCAATGTTGTTGTTGGGTAAATGCATAGCTCTGAGAGTTATGCAGTGAGATGAAGGCTTAGTGCTTTAAAATTACTCTAGGGACCTTTGAAAGTCCCTGGAAAGTATTTTGAGTATTGTTTATGGTTATCTGCGCACACCATGTGATGTCTGTGCTAGGAGATTAGGGCGGTTGGAGTATTAGCATTCAGAGCTGTCATTAAGAGGCGGAGCTAGGGATTTCCCCCGCCTACTATGGGCGTGGTCCCCGGCTTCTTTCATAGGTAAATGGAAGAAATGTAGAACCAAAAGAAATCCCTAGCTGTTTTATTCCCCACCTACTTGTTGTATTTACCCGGCAACTAGAAATCTTAGTGATCATGACATCCCTGAGCATTGAGGGTACAGAAACGTAACACAAACTGCATCACGGTTGCTACGTTATTAGAGAAGAAGGAAAATTCAAACACCAGAAAGCTCAGAAAAATGTTACGAGCTTCAGGTGAGAATCAAACTCATGACCCTCCGAGTTCTAGTTCGGACACTCCAGCCACTGAGCTACTGGAACTCTTATGCTGGGTAGGGTGAGTCAAGTTTCAGGCCACTTTTCCTAGTATAGACCCTTAAGACCCTAAATGGAAACTGATGCACTCCTGCAGTTAACCCTTAACCCGAATCACTAAACTTCAGTGGTATAGTCCATTTTAGAGTAGTCCATCTGGGTAGTCCATGGGGATAGTCAATGATCTGGAGGCCAGTGTTTTGTCCACTACCCAGTGGAGTGACCTGGAAATTCAAATATTTGGACTTTTTTGAGGTCCATAAAATGCTGTTAAAACACCTACATCAGTCTGTAACCTTTGTTAATGGTTTCTTGCAGGGAGCTGGCCGGAGGAGCAATGTGGTGGTCACAGAGGTACCTTACTGCAAAGAAAGCATCACCCCTGATAATGTCTATGTCCTTGATACTGGATTAAAAGTTTGGCAGGTAAGCCCCAATTCTACCTGGTTCAGTCATTATTAATTTGTTACCTCTCTCACACATACACACAAACACAAACATACATTGACATACATTTGAATGGGTGGATACAGGACTACTGAAAAGGTTACAAAATATAAGGTACTACCACCCATTTAAAATGGGTGCTATCAAGGAGGGTCCCAGGATGGGTTCTTCAATCTATTAATAATAATCATCATCATCACCATGTCTCATCATGCCAGAAGGCGCATAAGGCCTCCGTACTGTCAAACCAACACTTTAGAGTCTTGTGCAACCAATTTGGCTACTTCCCAGCTCTTCCACCCTGCTTGGTTTGACTCTTTCTCAACTGTCCTTCTCCAAGTAGTTGTTGGTCATCTGGTTGTCCTCTCGTTAATTTTGATTTAACCTGGGTTGATTCTCAATTCCAATGTCTCCTAGCTCTAGAAAACAAAAGAAAATAGGAATCAACCTAGGTGAAAAATTGTTGTTCAAGTTGTTCTATAGTCTGCCACAAACTAGTAAAATTAATGTTTTCACAGTCATTTATTGATCAACAAAAAAGGTTGAAGTTATCCTTGAGGAAGAATTGCTTGGACAACAAAACCTAGCTCTTTATATTGGCATTGTGATTTTTGTGAGTCTTCAATTGCCTTCATTGCAAGTATAGATTTTTTCTGGAAATTATAACCCAAT